TTGATTTGCAAACTTTGTGTTGCGAATTGCTGTGTGTGGGTGAGTGTGTGGGCGTGGGTGAGTGTGTGGGCGTGGGTGAGTGTGTGGGCGTGGGTGAGTGCGCCCATTGAAACGGAACATGCCGTGGACCCGAACAGCAGTGCATTTCACCACCAACCCAAGGACAAGGGCTGTCCACTAGTTGGTAATTGCTGAGGGATATGTTTTGTTGACTCACACATCCAGAGTTTTCCCAACACTGCATTGGACACTAGCCAGTACCATTTGGAACCATCTAGTTGTTCTGTGATTATCGACTATTGACTGCGGTTCAATGTACAGAGTTGATAGGTATTGCAAGCGCTCAGCTAGACCACAGGAAACCATTTGCTTTGTTGTCTTCTCTGTTTGAAGCTTCAGTTTTCCCGATCCAATTCGGGTTTGCAAATTCGGGTTTTGTTGAGGTCCCCCTGAACTCTGCTAGTATTGCAGGGTGTCAACAAGGTCTATGACATACATACATACAGTTACATACGCATGGTTTCAGGGCAGTTTCCCTTACTATGTCTCTGTGAAAGAAGTGAAAGCAACCAATGTGTTCAATGGAAACAACAGGCGTAACATGCACAACTGATTTGTAGGAAACATGAGGGGATCCATGTTCTGGTCGAGAAATACTATATAATTTCCATGAAACTTGTCCAAACCACAGAATAGTGTTCACTAACTTTTTGGAACACATGAAGTAGTTCCAGCTAATTTTTTTGAACATGTGAAGTAGTTCCAGCTATTTTTTTCGAAAACATGAATTAGTTCCAGCTAATTTTTTTGAAAACATGAAGTAGTTCCAGCTAATTTTTTTGAACACATCAAGTAGTTCCAGCTATTTTTTTTGAAAACATGAAGTAGTTCCAGCTAATTTTTTTGAACACATGAAGTAGTTCCAGCTAATTTTCATATAGTTTCATGTAGTTGAAATAGTTTCTGGAGATTTAGAAATAGTTTCTACCTGTTCTGTCAAGCTCACCATTAAAGAAGCCCAGAAAGCTCCCAAGCTATATATATATATATATTTAACTATCTGTATACAGATGTAGCGGATGTAGTAAGTATACCTACCACGAGAATGAAGGGGGGTGCTGTTTGGACCCTAAGGGGTGGAAAAGAAAGACACCCCTTACCACAAGTTGGCACCCCTTAGGGTATCTTGGTATAAGTAGCAAACAAGCGCCTTCAATGGAGGTCCATTGTAGTATATATAGTTTTCTTGTAAAGTAGTAGGCTGGGGCCCGTGCCAGGTGATTCCGAACAGAAGCAGCTGGTCACGGTGGCAATTCAAAAAAAAACGCGCGTATGATGTTTTACATTTTACATTGTTTTACTCCAGCTATGGGTAGGTGTGGGGTCGTGGGATACATTTATTGATTTAGTATAAACCTTCACCTGCACATTTCTCTGCGGGAAGTGTAAGAAGTTCTTCAGACCAGATGCGGGTGGCCTCTCTACTTCTCTTGTGTTGATGTTTTTTGAATTGTTGAAGTCAAGTTCGAGCTTGGTCTCCTGGCTTGCCTCTGTCTTTAAGGTGTTTGGGAATGAGGGTCGTCGAGGGTCCGTTATTAGCGACTGGAGCTGTCGGAGCAATGGATCCTCAGGGTTTTCTTGGAATTCCTCGACGTCCCTGGCCAATCAAATTGGACATGAAATTGGCACCCACGACCTTTGACCTTCCACTTGAGATGAAGACCGTCTGAGTGAGTATAGCTCAATAGGGGATAAAAGTTCAACATACCACACAAGTCCAGAGTTCCAAAACCAAGCCAAAAAAAACCTGGAGAAAAAAAACATGAAACACCTCCCAGGCGCCTCAAGGGTGCTCCCACTCTCCACCACCTCCCAAGAAGATGCTCTCCCCCTCTCCACCGCTCCATCAAGCCGACGCACCGCCCGCCCCCCTTAGGCCTTCCCCTGCGACGCGGCGCGGAGCGCCTATGACCCCGAGCGATCCACCACGGCGGAGCGCCGTCGTCACCGGGGGGAAGACCCAGGGAGCGGAGCGGCTGGGTCCACGGATGGAAGGTTTTTCAAGGTAAGGGTGGGTCAATCATGGTCGTTGTTTCATGTTGTTAGTTTTTTCTTTTCGGTTGATGGGGGGGGTGCTTTTTGATATGGCATGCAGACAATTCCTCATAGAAACCGGAGTGTGGAAGCGATTTCAGACTGGGGCATGGAAGGTCATGATGTCAAGTCCAATGAGGAACATGAATGGTGTGTCCATGCTAGTCGCAAGCTGTAAACCAAAGGGTCAGTTGGACTCGACCATGGTCCTCCATCACTACGAGCCGAGCTCCGGTCCGCACCGAACGGCGCCGAAAGAAAGAGCCACGGCGACGGTCTGCGCCTTGCCGTGGAGAAGCGACAAGCTGTCGAATAGAACAGTCCACACCATTGGTGGAAGGGTTTTACAAAGGTTTTACAAGTCATTTTACTAACCATCCTCATCCACTGGTAATGAAATATACCCAAACCACATATTCTACATATGGAGCCACTGGGACAGTACCCATTTTGTTCTTTGTGAGTCCAAGTAAACCGACACTGGCGGGGTTCGCGACTGCACTCTGGCGGGTATGTCTCTCTTGTTAGGCAGCCAGAGTTTTGTGATTACAAAATATGCCTAACAAGAATTATGATCTAGGTTTTGTGGTTACAAGATCCTAAAGCATGTTTCTCAGCAGACCCATACCTAGATCTTCCTGGTCTATACAATTGATGTTCATCACTGTGGACAATTATTGGAAGAAATGACTCCTGGATCGGAGCGACGAACGTTCCCCACGCTGGAAGTCCATGAATGTTCCGGCCAGAGCAGGAGGAGTATTTGGAGAGCCCGGCGCGCGAGCTTGATATCATGTGCAGGGCCCAGGGCACCTGTGAGATTGGGGAGCTAAAGGAACGGTGCTTCACAGTGCTTGACATTATACCCCTTCTGATTTAAATATATTTTATCACTTAGAGGGATGGGAGTGACCGGTTGGAGGGATGGGAGTGACCTCTCATTATTTTGTTTTGCAAGATTGGGCATCTTTTGCCCGGCTGGTATCATTCCAAAGCTTGGGTATCTGCAGGGTCTCAAAAGCTGTTTGGAAGAGTCCTGGCTTCAAGAAGGTCCACTCTGTAGCTGGTTTTGGTCCGAACAAGATGGGAGACTTCTCCAAAGCCCTGCAGGGAACAAGTTCGTAGAACTATGTCTTTTGATGTATTTTGTGTATACGCCATTGTAAAGTTTAAAAACGGTGCTGCAGTCTACAGCACTAGTCACTAGTACAGGTAGTATCACGTACTACTGTTGGATGAGTGCCACGTACCCCTGAGAATCTGGATTCTTAAAATGGAAAGGGTTTGGTTTGGGTCTAGACTTTTGCGAAGATGTATTTGGTCCGGACTTCTGCTACGAGTCGAGGTCAGGCTTTCAGATCACTCCAAACAGCATCAAGCAGCCCGACCGGTCCCTCAAAAACTAGGGATTTGAGACGGCAGACCCCTCCATATGAGGGTTTGATCCCTCCATATGAATTGCGAGGTTTTTACTCAACATCACAATGCTGAACACTCCGAGTCAAGGATGGAAAAGGTACCTACATGGCTGGTTTGGGGTGGTTTGGCAGGGTGAATGTATAGGCTATCATATATACCTTCCAGAGTACCTTCTCAGAAGGTGAGGAACGAGACACTCTTATGTAGGTGCCAGAAGGGTCCAGTCATACCTTCTGAGGTTCGGTACGACTGGATCCCTAGGGCTTAATTTAGGATTTGCATAGCTTTAAGTGGTATACCTTGTGTCTAGGATTACCTATGCCACTACAAGGCTAGTACCTGGAGTGTCTAGGAGTAGCATTGGTGCACCGTCGAGGTTTGGCACCGGCGAGATTCGAGGCCACCGGTCCGGGAGGAAGGACGGGGGGTCCTTCGGGGGTTCAGTTGAAGACAGTATGTGTGTGTTTGTGTGTGTGTGTGTGTGTTTTTGAGTATGTGTTCCGTGTGAACAGTTCGGTCCATGTGGGAAGTTCTACATCCTCAAAATGGTTGGGAGTCCTAAACCCTTCTCTTGGTCATTGAGTGAGTCATTGGAACTTCTATGTCGTGCCTGTGATCCCAGTGCATTCTATATGCAGAGTGTTCCAAAGTGACTCTCCCACCTATGCCACCTATGCAGAGTATATATATATATATTGGAGAGTGGCCCTTCCAACCAACTTCAAACAGGCGCGGAAATATTTGTGATGATCCCTAAATAGAGAGTTGATTGATGAGACTTCATAAAACCAAGCTTCTCAAAAATACACTCCAGATCAACCACTCGATCTTCGGGTGCTGAGCTTCCTTGTTTTGGGGCACGCCCACCTGGGGGCTCCACGGACCTAACTTCGGGCTCCGGGCGGCTTCGTACCCAACTGATTCATCAGTCGATGCAACACGGAAACAGGTCGAGACAGGTGGAGTTCGTGGGGTCCGCCGTGGGGACCGCGGACGAGTAGCAGTGGGGCACTGCCGGGTCTGCCGGGTCTGCAGCAGCAAAAAGGGAACAGAGGATCAGTGACTATCCAGACGAAGATCATATGATAGTGTGTTTTCAACAACAAAGACTCAACGGACCGGTAGATGCAGCAGATGCAGCAGAAACGCGAGAACAATCCGCGAAACCGGACCGCGTGGTGTCAACCCCAGGTTTGTGGAAATACTCTGATGGTGGTTCCACCCTGGGGCATAGAGAAATGAAGAACACATCCATCCGACAGGGCTGATAGAGGCCCATGAGAATGATGACTCTGACTCTGGCGATGTTCACTGCGTATTTTGGGGCACATTGTGGACTTGGAGAATTGCTCACAAAGAACTTTGTAACAGCTAAAACAGATAGCAACAATTTTCTGGACAGGATTCAGAAAGAGAATCAAATCGATTCTTCAACCTTTTTGAGGACTTCCCCCTCTCCCACCACGTCCCACCTGTGTTCCCTAGCCATGGCAGCGACCTCATCCGGTGCGCTGCGCGCGCTCAGCAGGGAGGAACGGTATGCTGGTGGAGTATCAGATCTCATGAACTGTGCCTTGGCTTGTCAGATGGATGAACCACTCAGAGCTGTGCGTGACATTTAACCGTGCCTTCGTTGATGAAAAGAAACGCTTGACAACCAGCAGAGGTTGAAGAACCCTAGTTCGACTATCCTAGTTCGGTACCCCTGGTGACGGGTCCTATTTACGGTCACTGGATACCTTTGTTGGAAGTTCAGACCCTGAGGTGGTTAGGAGGCATCACATGGTGCCTGATTCACTCAGCGATTTTCATGTGGCACACCTCTTGGGACACAGCCACCCTGGCTGAAGGTCTCATAGGGTAGCACAGACATGTCTTCCATGTCCAGACCCATCTGGCGTCGCCTTTGAACATGTCCATGCCCACTTCGCCATGGTTATCCTTAATCTACCAAGACCAATATGGTATATTATATCAGATCTAATTATGGTATAGTTACTGTATGTTATTTATACTATATAATATGTTTGGACATTATTCTAACCCGTACTGTGCTCTCCATTCTCTTCTTCCTTTGCTACCACGATGCCGATGTGTTCTTGGTCTTTGTAGCTGGGACGATGCCCGCCAATGTTCTCAGGCTTAGATGAGCAGCTGCGTCCCGAGCCTCGCCTCTGCTGGGACTTCGAGACCTTGCAAGCTCACCTGCAGCAGCAGCGCCGGCGCCAGGTGCTCCGCCTCGCCAGGGTTTGGGGTCTCAAGGATATTAAGCCCTGGAAAATTTACAGTGGAACCTGACGGCATGAACTTTTGGAAGACTATCTTCACAAGCACCAGTGGTTTTCCGGTTCGGTCTCTTCCAGGACGGTAGCAGGTAGAAATCCACTTTCACCTTGTTAAAGGCTTCACCGCCGCCCCCGGTGGAACCGCACGGTGAACCGCCGCGGTTGAGCCGGGGGATCGATCGATCGGTGACACGTTGGACACTCCGAAGCTGTTGGATTGACCTGCAACAGGTGGACTGTGGACAACCATCTTCAGTTGAAACAGCACAAGCATTTTCTGCCAGCACTTGAGATTCCATCTTTGCTTTGGACATTTCTGGTTGGCAATACTGGGACTTGGGCCCAATAGCTGGGCTTCTTTCACAGCTACCAAGAAGTCAATCTGCAGAACCCCCATGGCACTTCACCACCTACTGGGCCTCACGCTCCCTCTCCGCTTTGATCCTTTTTCATCGCACGCTCTCAGGCGGAGCGTGTCCTGGCCCGGCGCTTGGAGTCCTTACGGGCCGTTTCCCAGGTGCAAACGACATTGATCGAAGACTAAAAAGCCAGCACCACTGAAACACGGAAGCACGTGAAAAACGCCTTATAATAAACATCTCTAAACGGAACCCAACCCCCTGGAATCTCCTTCTCCTATCGCCCCACGACCTCACCTAGAATGCCTGGAAAACCTGGAAAACCTGTCACCCACCCGCGCCGGATCCGCGTCAACACGGTCAGGCCCAAGCATCTTTGGGGCGCTTTTTGGACCGACGCACCAGCAGCGTCCAGGAGGCCTCCTGTGCTGCCTCCGATGCGCAAGGCCGGCTGAACCGCTTGCAGGAGCAGAGCCAAACCGACGCCCGTCTTAGACCGAGTCGAAGACGTGGTTCCATCCGTTTGCGTCGGTTTGGGGGTCCAGACATGTTTTTTGGATGGTGGCAGGCTTCAGAGAGTGTCAGAGTAGCAGGTTTGGAGCGAAGATTCTTTGGGCTTCAATCATTTGGGATCCCCAAAAAGCTGTTCGTTTTTCACAGCTGATTTCATCAACAAGCAAGACTTGACGTCGTATTTCATCGTTGCCCATCTCGATCCTTTGTACGTCATCATCTCGCCCACCGGTGGCGAAACCTTCACCAACCTCCACCGTTGTCTCGCGAACGTCGCGAACCGAGGTCCGGGTCTCAGCGCTGAAACGAGCGCAAGCCTCCCTGGCCGATGCTGAGCAGCGCGCCTTGCAGGTGCCGATCGATGTTCAGTGGGAGGAGGAGGCTATCGATGTTCAAGGTGTGGGCGGTGGTCATCACTGCTTCTGGGTGGGATGATTCTTTCATTTGATAACCGCTTTGGCCTTTCCTTCATCTCGTCTCAATAATGTTTTGATAGTGCTTCAGCTCTTGCTAGAAGCTCCGGTATACGTATATTTACATACAATATTATGACAATATATGATATATATATATCCCTGGATAGATGGCCATATAATGTTTTACAGTCATTCTATAGAATGTAATACAAGGGTTTGGCCCTTAAAAGCCCCGCTTCGGCCGTGGTCTTCTTCCGCCTTTTCGTGGTCTTCCCGTCCTGTCCCGCAGGAGGCACGCGCACGGCATCTACTGCTGGACCAGCGAGAGCAGGAGCTGGCGACGCTTCTGAAGCTCAGTGGGTCTCTGAGGTCCAAGTCCAAGGCCAGGGACCCGACCGGTAAACCGCACAGAATGAACCTCACGGATGAGAGCGCCGGTGTTGAGGGGATGAGAGTGTGAGCTTCCAAGGGCGGTTTGGTCAAGATCCACTCTCAAGACATTCTGGTAAATGGGAACAAAGCTGGAGGCGCTTTAAATGATTGTCTTCCTTATGTTTGTTTACTCCAAAATCAGTCAGAAGTGGTTTAAAAAGGTCCAGGAACAACTCTGTTGCCATGGCCACACAACTGAAAAATCAGGCGACGGCTGAGAACCTCACAAGGATGCGCGAGACGCTGGAGGCGGAGATGTTTGCAGAGGGGTTGAAGGTGGAAGTTGGACATTAAAACACATTTACAATATAAATTATATATATACATATTATCCTGGTTCTTCAAATTGCACTTTTCACATCCTGGCTTGAGTTCTGTCACATCCTGGGCCTGTTTTACAGGTCACACCATCAGGGGCTTTTCAAAAGGTCATGTTGAAGAGGCTTCATGTTTTATGTACGTAGTATATAACAATATGAGATAGTATCAACATGTTATACTATATGGAAAAGAAATATATGTATATATTACTATATACTTATATATATACATATTTTTACTATCCCTCCACCATTTTTGCATGCTGCGTGCACGTCTAACTCAGTGTATCTACGACTCCAGAATGAAGAACCCCCTTGATTTGGTATTCAGCTTGCCTTTGATTCACACTACCTTTATCCGTGTTAATTGCAAAATCGCCAATTAATATTCTAGTTGACATGGGTAAACAAAGGAGAAATGCGTAAAGCAAATTCAAGAGAGGATAGATAGTTAACGGGATTATGATGCAGAATAGAAGAAACCTAATTAATCAGCTGGAGATTACCAACGCGTGTTTGTGAGTGGGTTCATCTAGGTTGAAGGGAAACAGAGAAAAAAGACTAGACATAGAAAAGATCAGCTAATTAATCAGCTTGAGATTCGCTCTCAGGAGAGGAGAATTAGCCAAGGGAAAACAGAACGTGTAATGGTGTAGAAGGAGTAAACATGGACAACCTAATGTACCAAGCTTAAGAAAGATGTAGCCACTTGTGGCATCATTCAAACAACTATACTAGCAGCATTTGGACGCACCGAGGGCTCTTCAAAGAAGCTTCTCGCTTCCTAGATGTTTGACGAAGACACTCACAAGTTTCGCAGATGTCACTAGTAGTAAAGGGTTCTATTTGTCAAGTTTGTTGAACATGCACATACTGTTTGGTATGGAAACCAATTTTATGAATATAAAACAACAAATACACAATAATACACATGTCACATAAACTACCCTTCACAAAAAGTATTGGGAACACAAACAGTGAAAACATATTAAAACATGACTAAACTATTGTTTTGTGATGTGTTGGAACAGAGGAAAATAATGAGGTGCTTTTTCCAAGAGTTTGGGGAAGCCAAGCACACATACAAGTTGAACAAACTTCTGCCCCAACGTCGGTACCAAAACGTCCATGCTTTTTAGGAGCCCTTGGGTCTTTTGTCCCACAACTTTTCCTCGAATCTTGTTCTTCTCTCTTAAACCCTTCATCTCAGACACCTCAACTACCTGAGAAACTGGGAATGCATCTGATATACCCTTCAACTGTATGTTTTTTTTGTTGTTTTCTTGTTTGTGGATGGTTTGTTTGTAATTTCAATAGATTTGCTTTAGAAGTGTCTTTGCCGGGGCATCAATCAAACTTCCCACGTATTCCCAAGGAAGATGCTTGTGTCGAGCGTTTCGCTACAGTGAAAGGCTCATTTGTAGTTACAGTAAGAGTCTGGGAAACATGTTAGGAAAAGTGCCTTCAGTAATCCAAAAGTTCAGTCATGATAATTCTTCTTAATTCGCAACACTTTGCAACTCCACACGCAAGTTTCTTTAACCCAAAAAACAGCAGAAAAGTGTTCTTCCTTCGACTTGAAGGCCATTATTGCCTGAATTGTTGATGTGTATTTACAGTAGATTTGGATGTTGCATAGAAGCACATCAAATGTAATTCAAACAGGTACGTTGCGACGTTGTTATACACAAAGGAAAACAGAGTGAGGTGCGCATAACTGCATCCTTGCATCACTACAAGGACGTCATTACCCCTACACTTCCCCACCCCCTCAAAAACGGAACTATAATTCAAAAACACCTTGGACATAGTGCCCGAGACTGGCGCCCGTCTCGTGTGAGGCAGCGCAAAGACAAGCCTCCGATGTCTTGGAAGAGAAGAGCCCCTCGTACGGCAACCGCTCCGACCGAGACCGAGAGACTGAGAGAGGGTCCCTGCCGGTGTTTGGCCGAGACCTGTGTAGCATAGCATGCCGGAGGGAAGAACACCTGTTGGATGGTTCCCTCAAGGAGCTCTTGGTCCAAAGCGGTGCGCCGCCGTGCTGAGCCATGAACAGCCATGGACAGCCTTTCTAGTATGTTCCACCTCCGCAAACGTCGTTTTCCAGTTCCTCCGCGCAGGTTATATGGAGGAGCGACGTGTGCAGATCGAAGCACGCGAGGCCTCCTTGCCTGTCATGGAACGAGCTTGGAAGGCGAAGCGAACGCGGTGACCCGCGCGTGCCGGCAGAGGGCCACAGGGCAGAGGGCGTTTGCCGGTGAAACTGGGGTTTGGATCCGGTGAACTGGCAGAGGCCGTCCTCTATCAAACATGTCTTTGAAGAGGACCACTATTGAAATATCAGTCCCACATGGGTGTCATGCTGGAATATGCTAGACTTGGTGTCCGGAGCAAAGATGTTCTTGAGGTCGGCTGCTTGATTGGGGGTTGGGGCATGCTTTTTATTTATTTATGATCTTCTTTTTTCACTGAAAACCATTTGCCGCAAGCTACACCCCGTTGCAGGAGGTGGTGGCCCAAGTTGGCCGGGATCCTAAGAAACGCCCTGCTTTGCTGGCAATGGCCATCGAACACATCAGCAATGAGCTCCTCAAGGATTGATGTTCTCTTTCGGGACGTCAGTGGGTCAAGGCAGGAGACGGATCGGGCACTACCTACCTGGAGACGGATCGGGTCCTGGTGGACCATGGTGGACGGGCTCCAGGTTTTCACCCATCCTTGTTCAAGGCAAGCCCCCAAGACCTGTCAATAGGGTCTAGTGGTGACAGAGCTGAGAACGGGTCCTCAGACATGAGAAGAGGGACGCACTAAGGTTGTCTTCACCTTGACCTGCAGATAGTGATTCAGATAGTGTTTTCACATGTTTTCACTAAACTGTCAGCAGATGACATTGGGTACTTTCCAGAATCACTACTCACAGATGATGGGTCTGGAATATATTAATATATATATATGCAGTATAATAGTGATATAAATATAATATATAATATGTTATCACAACATGTTATTATTGCATCCCAGACACTCCATGTATATCATGTATACTGTATACATAGTAGAGGTGGTTTCAGGGGTCAATGTATGCAAATAGATAGAGTGTGTGCGTAATCAAGTTTATCCCACTGACTTCTACCATGAACACACGAAGGAGGTGCTCCGGCGGTCCTTAACATGTTCACTCTTGTAGTGATCACGATGTCCGGCAAATGTAATGACCTCACAACTTGGAGGCGTTCCACCGAGCTTGTTCCAAGGAGAGGTGTCATGTGTGACTTATAGCCGAGAGATCGTATGCACAACATTAATTGTATATATATATCTATAACTATAAGCTAGAAACTATGTAAAATATATATATATATATACATGTATGATGTAGCTTGCAGAGCAAATCTTCCTGCTCGCATTCTGAGCCAACATTTGCTCCAAGCCTTCCTTTGCATACCTTTGCATGCCCCCCGAACTCGTCACGTTTCTTGGCCGTTGCAAGGACCAGCGCTACATCAGCTGCTTTACTGCCTTGGAGCAAAAAGTCTCCTCCGACGATCGCCGGGGCGAAAACCCACCGCTTCGGCGCGTGGTGCGAGAAGCGGCCAGCGAGCGCCGTCGCACGCCGCGCAGAAGCACGCCGTGCCAGGAGGTGGCAGGGATGGGGTCGAAAAAAGGCCGAGCGGTAGAAGGACCTCGTGTTTCTTTTTCTTAAAGCCTCTTTTCAGTGGTCTGAAGAAAAAGACTTATCATTGCCAGCTTCCAGTGGGAAGTGTTGGTGTACTTGAACGTGACGGTCGTAACCGGTGCCCGTGACATTTCACCGAGTTACACCGTGGCCGTGGGAGCGGCCGGTTGGGAAGCGCATGTACCCAACAGAGGTGGGTCAACGAGCCCTACTGTTCGACTATCCCTATGCATAAGTAACCCGCTCAGGGTCCGACATTTCATGAAAGTCCTCTCTGGTCCAATCTGGATTTGCCAAGGCGGACAAGCATGAGACTTCCAGACAACCCGAGGTTCTGCACCCGCTCCGGTGCATCTGACTGCAGGTCCCAGCACCAGTCTCGGCTGCATCAGAAACGTTGGAGGATGATTTGGAGGTTGAGTTGGAGGTTGAGGTAGATTCTCCGGCGGATGAGCCTTGGCCGAGACAGTTGGACGAGCCAACCATTCCTGAAAGTGGTGTTAAAAGAGCCCTGACTAATCAATGGCTGTTGTTTTTGGATCAAGTTGTAGCAGTTTTACCCTTCTTCTACCTTCTTCTTGAGATTGGTGGTCCGTTGTTCCATGTTGTTCCCGTGGAACTGATTCCGTTCCGTTCCCCTCCAGCAACTTCAGGTAAGTACAAAGAGGAGACAAACAACACGTGTGGGTCAAGGGAGATGAATCATTTTGACAATTTTGACATGTCGACATCCATTCAACGTCTTCAAAAACACACAAACTGATGTGAAGCAGACATTTCTGTCATAATCCAATACCTTCACACCACTTTCCCATGGAAAAAGCCACGTGAATTTTGGAACCTTTCTTTTCTTTCGGCCTCACCGATGGTGCTGCCCCGCCCAGGTGGACGGCGACGGAGAGGTCATTTGGACTCCACGTGAGTCGGTCACCGCGGTGCCCGGTTCGGTGGTCGGTTCCGCGGCTCTGGAGCGGTTCCTCGGCAGGCCGAAAGGTGAGTGAAACTCTGACGGTTTTTGTTTTTTTTGGGGTTCGATGTTTCGTGGATAGCATTCATTGGGGAGTTTTTGTTGTTTTTCTCCATTCCTTCTGACCCTGCTCATGAGCGAGTCTCCGAAACTGGGGAAGAGTCTTCTTTTTGCGAGGTAGGCGAGGTGCTTTGTTTTTTCTGGTTGTCTGGACAGCAAAACCCCAGAAAACGTCGGTGGGAGGAGCTTCTCGGAGCTCGGTCAGAAGAACCCAATGAGACTGTCCATGGTGGAGGAAGCAGGGAGAAGGTCTTTCTGCGGAGTTAACGCGCGAAACTCCTGCAGGAGATGTGCTTTTTGTGATGAGTTGGTGAACCCCTGTCAGCTCGCCTCGTTTTCTCCACAGCTTGAGTTGGGGTCGGGGAAGGACTCCATTCGAAGCCCTTGGCACACACTTCATAGGACTGAAATATTTACATGCAGTGACCCCAGGTCAACCATCCCAATGTATGTATATGACATACATGGAGTGTCTGCGTCTTGGCACATCCATTCACGAATTGTGTTGTGTTCCTCACGTCTCTGGGACTTTGTTTTACTGCAATGTATGGCTTGAAATGGGATGAAATGGGCTTGAAAAAGATCTTTATATAAAACCGTGGAAACTTGGAGCACAGATAAATAGATTATTACAGCCTAGACTTGATTTTGACTTTTCCCAGTCGTGGACGATTCGCCCCATCATGTCCAAGCCAAGAATCCGTCTCCGAGTGAGGATCACTCTGCTTGGCTTTTCTTAGTTAGTAGGGGCATCGTTAGGGTAACAAAAATAGTTGTAACTTGTTTTTTTGATGTTTTTTGAACATGGAAGAGAAACCATCTTTGAATATCATTGGACGGAAACAGCGGCACACACACACATACAACACAGACCACTCCCGGACCCTGCTTGGTGGGCATATTAGAGATGGGATGGCAGAGTTTGGGGTATTACTCCTACCAACTCCTCCACATTGCCCTTACCCAGGCCCTAGAGGTGCCTCAAAAAGACAAGGTCACCGCTGATGAATGGTGTGCCATGTGAAAGCTATTTATACTTCATGGAGTTAGTGCGCCATGAACATAGCATCAACTTGCACATGGCCATGGGGTTGATATATGCTTTTGGTGCCAAGTGCATAACATGAAACAACCAACATAGCAGCGGAACACCCAAAGGGTGGACGCCCAAAGAACCCCAATCCATGTCTGATGCAATTCGAAGCGCATCCCGTTGCATCCTGAGGATGGGAGCTTCGAAGACTCAAGAGGAAGATCAGGCGACGCCAGAGCAGATCTCCAGATATATATCATGCGTTTGTGACAGTAGGTATCAGATGGCTCCAACACACCTTGGCTACCCAACAAAGTACTGCCAATACTTCCAATTTCAGAACGACCTGCTGGTGCAATCGCCACGATTTAAAATCGATGGAATAGACACCGTGTTCAGAAATTTTGTTGGAACTCATCTTTGCCATTGCTCTTTCAAGTTGAAGAATGCGCTGTGCGCATGTTTTGTTTTGTTTTGAGGTATGCTTTGACCAGGGCACAAGTGCTGTTGCAATTGACGAGAAAAAAGGCAAGATCCGTAATTTGCGTTCCTTTCTACCACGGTGTCCAGGCCACTTCGACTGAGCCTGAGATGAAGAAAGTGGTCACCAGGACTGGCTGGTTTGGCGTGAGCACTAGGCGATGATGTTGTGTTCAATAGGGACTCGCAGAATGAAAGCTGAAGAGTGGTTGACGGGAAAGCTGCTTTTGCTGGGTGACTGGAGGGGCATTCCCTACCTTCCGACTGGTTGACATCGGAGGTTGATTGAACACGTGCTTCCACTGCCTTCCACCATGATTTGAGAGACTATGTTAAGTACTTAGCACAATAATTGATAGTTATTGACAGACATTTTCACCATCATTTGATCAAAGTCTAGAGTCCAGAGGCAGAGCCGATTCTTCACCAAACGTTGGACCCACAGCGTTTTATGTCTCCTACCAGTCAGTGGATAACCTTCATATAACCGTTTTTAACCTTTTTGGACGGATTGCTTTCCCTACGTCATACACAAAAATTAAGTGGGCGAAGGTCAATCTGTATTTTCCAGTAAAACTGAGGGGATTGCTATGGTCTTTCTTGCTTTGCGCACCAGCAGGTCAATCACGGCACCGCCACGGAGGCTGCACCGCTGGCCGCCATCAAGCGCAAGTGGGCGAGTGTTGGTGCAGACGACACGTGTCGGATTGGTGATCGATCTGTCCGTGGCATGCGGCTGTGGGTCATGGGAGCGGGGTACCTTTGGTTGACCACAGAAAATGAACAGATAACAGAATTGACTATTAAGGAGGTGTTGGGCTTCCCCTATTGTTCAGAGAAGCCCAGGGTATGGATCAGACCTGCCCGAATCATTGTTGGTGAACGTCGGGTCAGCACCTCAAATTACCATCGCAGACATGTCTTGCCATATTGCTTTCTTTTTAGTGCTCATTAGTACTCGAGAGCATATTGAAGTGGTTGGTCAAGCGCAAAGTTCTGCATTGCAGCCAATCTCTGGGGGGCACGGGATGAGTGGCCCATATTTCACAGGAAGTACTGCGCCACTCTCGACGACATGAACAGGGCTATATGAACCACATCTTTAAACAAAAGGACTCGTAACATACGACGCTTTGGAGTCGAGCGTGTTGTTTCATTTGTCCCTATTTGGATCTATTTGGGCTATGTTGGGATACTACTGTTTGGTTGCTTTCCAGTAGGTGTGTCAGGGTTTGGACCCCCGCAGCCTATGTGAGGACTCCCTTTGCAAGGGCAGGTGCAACATGGGATGATTTCGGAATGTAAGCCTCTCAAGGATACACGGAGAAGAAACACACACAGCCTCGTTTGGATTCCTGTTGAATGATCATTCGTTTACACCAAGGTGAGTTCCAAACAACTCATGTTTCATCTTGATGGGGTTTGTGGAGCAGATTTGATGTAGGGAGGCCGCGGGGTGTCCTGCTCAAGACAAAAGAAAGGAATGCTTAGGGCCATTGGTCTGATTGGGGCATGGTTGGCGGCATTTGTTAGAGAAGATCCTAGTCCCAGGGAGTGTTTTTGCAACTGCACTTGTAGCATTGAGCATCGTTTGAGCAGTGCAGCCACCAGTTGGCAGTGGGAACTGACTAAAGGACTGATATTTGTTTTCATTGGTGCGTTGATCACGGTTGGCTGGAAAGTGGTTGTCCTGTTGATTCAAAAGCCGGTTGCAGTGTGCAAGTCTGGGCAATTCGACAACAAGACAAATTACCGTCAACAGAGCCTGAATTGGACAGTGGGTTGACTGCAGAAGGGCAAGTGGCAGTAGAGGCGCGTGCTCGAGAGCAACTCGCGACTCTGAGGCATATGTATGACGTTGGTGGACCTGATCTTTTCCATGAAAGATATGTGTTAGCAAGCTGTCAGTGTGGTCGGGGTTGGCACATCGTTTTGACTCCGGATGATGATGTCTACCCTGAGCAGATTAGTCTAGAGAATGAAGATTTGTCTTCATACAGGTTGGGCATAGGACCAAATCTTCCTCACGGCTTGACGGCAGCAAACACCTATCGGATCAGGAATCGCCCAGATCCCCAGAGGCTACAGCAGATGTTGGTGGATGCACGACATGCTGCATCTGCCTTAGCATTCCCCCCAGGAGCCGGTCCTGGCTTGGGCGCCCCGCCAGTTGCAGCACCGGCGGTCGGGGCGATCCAAGCTGAGGCTGGCGATCAGGTGTGGGTGCGCATTGAGACAGATGGAGACAAACACCGAGGCGAAGTAGTCACCCTGACTGGAGGTGAAATCATCCACGGAAATGTTGGTTTGAAGATGGAAGGAACCACACATTTTGCAATTCGCCGAATGTTGCGGGCTGACGTTGAGGCATTCAAAGGGAAGGAAGCTTCTGCCGACGCGAGACTCCTTGGAATCAGCTTTCAAGGCATTGTGATACACGAGCGAACTTGGAGGGATGTCTCAAAGGAACTTTCAGAGGAGGAGTTCAGAGATTGGGGCGTTCCTGGTCCGAGAACATCTGCTTGGTGCACCAGGTTTTTGAATCGTCGCAATGGTGGCCCCAATTACCATCACAGGTGGTGGGTGAACAACCACAATTTGAAGCATGATTCCTGGGGAGTGAGCGAGCATGAACATCTCATGAAAGTGCTGGACAAACTTGGCCGTTTTGATGGGCTGGACCTCTCGAACCTTGCTGGCGCTGAACTTGCTTTCCGAAGGCTTCAGTTGATCGAGTACTATTACAGCGATCGTGGGCCAGGAAGTGGAAACAAGGGTGCTGGGGAAGGGGACAAGAAAAAGGAAGATGACCTTGTTTACAAAATGGAGTCTGCAATTTTTTCGGGTTCCCACAAGGAGTTTGGAGATGTTATGGTTTGTCCAACACTGATGGACTATGTATCCAAGGAGATTGAAACAGAGGCATCCATTATGAAGCAGGTGAGGAAGGCGCGTGAGGAGCGCGCCGCAGCCAGCAAGTAGCTGATCTGCTTCTGCCGCAAGGAGCAATGGACTCCTTGCACTATGAGAAGGTGCAAAACAACAGCGTTGGGGTGAGGCAGCGTGGAATTTCCCATTACCCGTTCCACGGATTCCCACAGTGCCAAATTCTTCTGCGGTCAGTAGAACTGTGCGTAGGAGACTTTTTGAGGCTGGGCATGTTGACTCTTGGGTTCGTGACATCGTCATTGCTTTGAACGGCATGTACGCCGGCCGAACAGATGAGGGCAGTTTTGAGGCATGTGGGTCCATCACCTTGGCGCAGCTTGATGACCATATGTGGGGGGGATGCACCAGACCTGGCGAGAGCCTAAGGCTACAAGCCAATCAGGTAGTGAAACCATCTCGGATGTGCAAGAACTATATCCTAATCATCAATCAACTCAGGTCAAGAGGAGGCGTCAGAATGACTTCAAAGGTAGGAGAAATGGACGAGGCGGTCGAGATCGATCAGCCTTACCTTCAATGGCTTGGTCCCGCTCTGAACCGGCTGAAAAGCACATGCAGTCCGCAGTCCTCAAGGGTTTTCAGTTTCACCAGGGAGGAAGGAGTTGCTCACTTCGAACGGGTGGTTCACCAGCTGAATTACCACAAGGTGGGGATTCAATGCGTTTATGAGCTTCGACATGGGTCAGCCAGCGCAGACGCTCTGGAGAAGTTCCGCACCCTCGACCAGATTCAAAAACGGGGCAGGTGGCAATGGGGCAAGAGCGTCAGAAGGTATGCCAATGGAGGCAGAGTCTCCCAGGTCTTCCAAGAGCTCAGCCAGGAAGAGCAAAGACAAGCCAGCGTGGCAGAACCCGAGATTGTCAAGATTATCGGACCTGCTTTGGGCAGAACAGCTTGCAAGAGATAGGTTTGGAGATTTTTTCGGTTTGCGGGCGACTCTCAAGGGCCATGCGAAAAAGGTTGAAAGCAGTGCAATGCATTGAGATCGACAATATTCATGGCCCTCAGTTTGATTTGACAAGTCGGAAAGTGCAACGTGATATTTTCAAACTCTTGCGGTCTGGACAAATTGTTTATGTCTGGTTGAGAACTCCTTGCAATTCATGGTCACGTTCCAGGAGGGGTCCCGGTTCCCTTCGAGATGATCATAACAACATTTATGGTTTTCCCTGGCTTAAGAAGGCTGACATGCAGCAAATACACGTGGGCAATTCTCTGATGCGTTTTTCGGCGAGTTTTTCGATATTGCTTGGCTCATGGTATTCCTGTTACGTTGGAGAATCCTCACACTTCACGGTTGTGGCTGGCTCCTCCTATTCGATATCTGGTCTCCCATAAGAACACTGAGTATGTCACTACAAACTTTTGTCAAGATAATATGCCTTGGAGACAGCGGACTGGCTTCCTCTCTGCCAATATCTCGCTCAGGTCCAAGTGCCGACGATGCACAGGACCTCGGGGGGTTTGCTCCAGGACCCGGGTGTCCCACGAGCGGCCAGCGGACGCGAGGGGGGGAAAGCTTAGAACCTTGCTTGCTCACCCTTGGCTGTTATGTAGTCGTCTCGCCTCTGCCTTTGCTTACACCATTCACCACACCAAAAGCCAAGCACTGTGGAAATATTTTGTGTAGGCGGGACGTCCAGATACGCTTTTGGGGTTCCAGAAAGATTTTGGACAATCGGCTGAATGGCCATACATCCTTTTCGAGCGGCCTGAGCCTTTTGTAAAGACAGTACCTGGCCCTGGAAGCAAAAGGCGCGGAACACTCATATGAAGACATTCGAATTGGCAATGTGTTTTTGGTGACCCTCCCTCCAAAAAATGCAGACAGCAGTAAGTACAATAGATCTATCTTGACCTCGGTCAGCCGGGGCGCCCGGTCATCGTCGACCCGAGGATCCCATCTGCGCGCCTCGAAGCGAGCCCTGTGCGCCAGGTGACAAGGGGCGGTGTGTTGACGTGGGGAGCGGTGGAGCGGTGGAGTGGGGTGCGGTGTGTTGACCGAACAAGCAGAGATGGACGATTCTGGGGGGCTGATTCGGATATGTGGGGGTAATGCCGCATGCCGAAAAAAGAGTCTATTGCCTATTGCGGATGAGATTTGGCAGGGTGATTCTGCAGGTTGAAGGGGAAACATAATTATGTGAGTTTTCCAGAACGAGAGGCGGTTTCAGAGTTTTTCACTCATATAATATAAACGTTGGGGTATTTGAATTTACGCTCACAGAGGTGCCAAGTGACCCAAACGCCTCAAAGCTGTTGGAGATCATTGGAGAGATTTCACATCTGGATTTCTGCAGTTCCATCGGGGTGTCACCAAAGGTATCAATTTGATTTCGCACCGGGAACCTTTCGATTTTGGTTCATATAACTATTCAGTTTCTTGCTGCCCGCTGTATACTTCAAATGCCAATGCATGAGACTATGATGAAATACAAGACCTATCCGCAAGGCCTGATAATATCAACGTGTGTAATAAGAATCGCTCAGACCAGCCTTGATGGGTGCTGGAGACCCCTCACAATAGATCGGATGTTCAGACAAAGAAACGGAAATCCAGATCTCTCTCCCACCTATGGTCACCAATGCGTTGAGATAGCTGGCATTGAGGAATTGGAAAGCAACAAAAACATGGCAGGACTGCAAGATGATCAAAAGAATACGGACATAGCAAAATGCATGATACTGGTTGGATCATCCCTGTGTTCCTTTGGGAAGTGCTCAATCTGCCTATTAAGGTCTTGACAGGGTATAGACGATGCCTGATATCGGTGCATTCTAGTCTCTAGACGCTGGGGCTGGACCCGTCTCTAATGGTCTCTATTTGTTGTGCGCCCATGTCAATTCATACACAAATAAAGACCAATAAAGACCATATATAGCCATTTATATAAACCCACTACAAAAAAACACATTAATTCAATTCATACCCACATGTAAATCCACAAAGCCAACACATCTTATAGCTACCAACCCTCCTCCTCCGAGGGAGGGGACTTGTCAAGCCGGGCGTTCCGCGGTGTGTGCCGAGCGGTACCTCGCTGTGGAGGCCGTGCGGCAATGCTCTCAACCCTCGACCTTGCTGGGCAGCAACACCTCCCAACCCTCGGAGGCCCTGAGGTGCCCATAAAGTCATGTCGTCGTCGTCGTTTGGACCCTTTGGGGTTTCAAAAGGAGGAACATTTGCAAACCAAGGAGGATCATTTGGGTGGGAACCCAGTGAAGCCTTGAGTGTTGGTAATTCAACCCTATGAGGTCTCAACAAGCGTTTGGCTTGTACAGAGTCTTCGCAGTGACTAGATTGATACTGGGGAGGAGGGCTGGGGCACCACACACTCTTGCATTGTTTCACCACCCATCACCAGGGTTCTCACCGTTCTTGGTGAGCACGCTGGGCAATTCGTGTGAATTACTATAGATTCCACCTCCAAAAAAAAAACAAATATATATATATATAATATATATATATTATATATATTATATACACATATTATATCTGTATATCCCAGATTATAGTGTCAGATGGCGACTTCCTCCATCACCAGATCTTATCTTCTCGGCATCCTTCGGTCCTTGGCACTGCGCGCCACGAGGTTCGTCTCGGCCGCCTCTCCGCCCGCGGCGCCGCGCTCGCTGGAGCCGCCCTCCACGCCACAGATGCCTCCAAGACCTCAGTGGCTCGAGATCAGAGCTGGGGAGCTTCTGGGTGAACCCAGCTGGGACTGCAAGCACCACTTAGAAACTCGTGCGGAGGATCATGGTGAGGGAGTTGATTCACAAATGTTTTATGTTGGGATATCTTGTAGGCCACACAAAAACGCTGGGAGTGCCAAAGAGTGCAGTGGTGCGAGTTCATGTTTGTTTGCAAGAGTGTCAAAGGCCTTTCGTTACCTGACTGACCCCGGTTCAGCAGCCCCGGTTCGACTGGTATTTGAAATTTGAAACCTTATAAACTCAGGCGTGTTTGACGTCCTGAAGTTTGTTGAGACATCGCTGGAGACAAACAAAAATCCATGCCTTTGTAACTGCTGGTGGTTAATATTCTTTGGGGATGGTGATGGTTCGCAAATCTTCACCTGCGAAATCGGGTGGTCAAGATTTCTCGGCAGCCTACCAAGTTGGCCCCACCAACGTCAGAAATCGATTCTCATCCGGCTTGCCATGGCTTGCCCTAAGAATCGATCGATGGTCAGTGGCAGCCGGTGGACTGATGTGCTTGGTACATTTGGTGAGAACTGCTGTGAACTTATTTTGGAAAACATGGATTCCCTGAGGTTCATTTCCCATCATTTCCCTGAGGAATTTCCCTGACAAATCCATCTAATTCATTTCCCTGAGTCGCCAGCTGAAACCAAGGTTTCCCTATTCGCCACAAGCACTGCAGCCTGTCATGATGCCTGCCGCTGGACACGCCGGACACGCCGGACACACCGGACACGCTGTGCAGCTGCCGTCGCCCGCAGTGGCGCCCGCAGCGCCCGCGTCCTACAGCGTCCCACGGTTTCCAGCGCCAACGGTGATGAGCCCCGCACAGAGGACGGTGGTGTGGACGGTACAGCGGTGAAAAAAGAAGTGCGAAGGAACGGCTCGGCTTGGAATCTGGGTGTTTTGGTGGAAGTGGGTGGAACTCTGGTTTCGGTGGGGAAAGCCACTACTGTTCTTCTAGTCAGGTTTGAGAAGGGAAGGATGTTTTGTCAGAATTTCCCTGAGGATTGAGAATTCTTGCATTTATTATTCGTTTTATACCAGGCAGAATGAGACTGGTGGATTTTTTGTTAGTTTAGAAGACTCGGTAGTGGTAGAACCTGTGGACTGGAACCTTGCTTGGATTTGATTCGATTTATCTCCATTTATCTCCTAGACTCCGCCTGAGCTTTGCAGCTAGTCAGCTGATGTTAGCTGTTCTGGACAGCCAATCTACCAACGTCGCTGGTGGAGTCGCTCAGGTGTCATCCGATTTGGGCTCAGGTCTGTCTCAAAGACGAGGTCTCTTGGTGTCACGAACTTCAACCAGTCAAGGTTTTCTAGTCTGCGACATGAAGAAACCATCAATACCATGGTATACCATGGGACAGATGAATCTCTACATCTGTAGAGAGATATCTCTTCTATAGATGAATTATATAGATCACCGGAGCCGGCCCAGCCTGCCGAGCCCGCAATCACCCATTTGTTTCAGATGTGAATCCCCATCTATAAGTTCAATATGATCAATGAATATCAATGATGTATAAATTCATTGAATCAGGTCTCAAGAGAACTGTCAAACGGAAGGCCAGAGTCCTCTCCACCTCCTTCCACCTGCCAGGCCCCCTCCACGTGGACACCTATCACGTGGGACCGATGCAGGTGAGGCTGACACCCAGCGGCTGCACTGTTGAATTGAAGATTGATCGATTTGTTCATCCCACCGTCCATGAAGAGATATATTATGAAGAAGTGTTTTCAAATGGGAGGCTATAGACTCTGATTAGTCTCAAGAGTCCCAATTTAGGCCGTTTTGATTCGCCCGACACAAGGGCACCAACATGGGTGTCTCCATCTTCGACTTCCATTGGACTCCAAAATGCCTGAGTGTGGAAGAGCTTTGGAAGGTCAGAAGTACCTTCTGAGACTTCCACATTTTCTATAGACCTTCCAACCCTTGGGTCTATTATAGACCTATAGACCAGAACGATCCATGTCTTCGGATACAAGACCTTTCAACCTCCAACCACCTCGGCTTCCTCGGCCAACCAGGTGGATCACCAACCCTTCGGGATGATCCGAGCACCTGAGCAGCACGGTACTGCCCGGAGCATCAGCGTGGCACTGGATACCTAGACACGACCTGTTTGACACTGTCATATATCTATATATCGATCAGTTGAGGTGGTTGCCGTGTTGATCTGGGGTTAATATGCAAATATTCCATACAATGGAGTGTGTCGGGTATGGTATATATTTATTCATATATTTTCTAGAACTATATAATTCATGTAACGCAAGGTCTAGTCCGAACGTGGGTGGTTTGGAGCCGGGCTGGCTCAAAAGACCCCCGAGAACACCGTACAGCTCATGTGCTGCAAGCACAGAGCTATCGAAGCCACCATGCAGTCGGTGGAGTGGACGAAGCGATGACTGGGTTCTGAGGAGATGTCCGGGGAGGTGTTTGCCTCCTTTCCCTTCGAAGGTGCGCATTTTTGCGGTGACGAATGGATGCACTGCAGGGATATATAGGGCTCAGGCAGGGCGTCGAGTTCCTAAAGCCTGAAAATTGGATGAGCTTCTGCCCAGAGACTGCATGGGACTGCTTCGGCTCCAACCTTCAGGGGCTTGATGTAGGCCTTCCAATATGGAATGTTTGGGAAGAAGACAAAGATCAGCCACTTGGGCTGTGCCAGTGCTGACGTGTAGTCTCGTGAGCTAGTAGTTTCTCTTTCGTGTCGTCGGTTCAGCGTGCTGTGCTGACGACATGTCGATTCGGATCCTTTCGGACTCAGTTTTTCATTCGCACCAGTTCTGGGAGAGGAGGAGAAGGTCTATATTGTTTTGGTTCTCAAAACACACCAAAGCGTACCAGAGCCTTCTCAGGCGAAGTAGTGCAAACTGCTACCATGAGGGTGGAAATGAAAGGTCATGGTTGCACAGTGTTTTTCGCTGCACAAGACGACGCCTGTAATGTTCCCTGATGCCTTAGGATCCACAGGTTGGTCCAACCATCTGGTGGCCTTCTGGATCATGAGTATATCTTGTGATTAGTAGAACCCAATTTAATTGGAAAACCTCGCCAGTAATGTCAATGATAATGTAGAGACTTGATAAATATGCTATCTCTTGATTAATAACCGTCCAATTTGGATGCATGCACTTGCGGGTCCAAGACAACGCTTCCACACGGTCCCTTGCTGGTTGGTACAGCGGGTACCGGCTCCAGTAAGGAGTGAGAAGGTAACATGGCACAACAGTACCTACCATGATCTTTGTACAAAACCAAACTTCTTCATATATCGGGGTCTTGCATGTGAATCACGAGTCTACATTAGGAGTCTCGCTTTAATACTTGCATGCTCTTTGTTCTTTAGTTGCGAAGTGCCTAGTACAAGGTTCCCTCCCTTAAGCCCTAAAATGTCAAATCCCACCCCCGCAAAAAATAGTAGTAGATTCCTTTTACATGTGTTGCGTTCAAAGTTTGGAGTTGCGTGTTACTGTCAGTAAGTTACTGTTGTTTTCTCATCTCCATATCCTTCCACATTCCAAGATATGTTGTTCGACTAGCTCCTCTTCACGCCAGGGATCCTGGGCTTAGCCTTCCCCTCCCTCTCCTTCGCTCACATCGAGCCCTTCTTCGCGCCTTGGAGATCACAATCGTGGCAGGTTGGGGTGAAACCCGTGGAGGCTCCACACTGTTGCGGGTCACCGTTTCGTTGCCTACATAAACCGATGAGCTGGTTGACCGAGCGGGGTGTTTGGGTTGTCCCAAGTCTTTGGGTCAGTCGGATCTTGTTTGCATGTGACAGGTGATTTGGATCAGATGTTGGTTACAAGATGTTACAAGTGATTCGACCGTTCCAAGTTCTGGGCAGATGTCAGGTCAGATGTCAGAAATATAACCCTGTCCTCACTCAGTGGTCGAAAGGGTCCAGAAAGGCAATCACTGAGTGAGAGGTTGGGTCCAATGACTGGTAACAGTTGATAATAGACGATGATAATTGATGTTCACTACTTTTGAGAAAGGCCTGCAATCTAACCATTATGCTGATTCACCAGGTGGTTTCGCGAACGAGCGCGGATAGGTTTGTTTGTTTGGATGTCTAGGACTGGGTGGGTGGGTGGACAAGCTCGCTCCAACAAAGCCCTACCAAGGAAAAGTGGACAACATGCAAAACCTTTCTTGGGGGTTGGCTTGATCACTCAACAACAAGTGCAGCCACTGATGAAGCCGACTTTGTGGACTTTGGAGGACACCTTTGGGACACTCGACCTCTTCATTGGCAAGCTGCTCGTACTTCAGTCTCTCCCAAATGATCTTTTCCTCAAAACCAGATCCAGCCCGTCTCCAGTCTGAACCACGAAATTGAACCATCCATTTCTGTCGCTGAGAGGAACGTGTCATCAAGAACAAGCGCTGCTTGCGAAGCTTGCTGCAGACTAATCTTGGTTGGACTTAGCAGTTGCTTGGTCTCCCACGACAATATGCCAAAGGTGGCACCATGTGAGCGGCTGAGCCAGTAGGACAAGTAGATACAAGTAGTAGAGGAGAGTTGTGATACGTTGTGCTTGTATATTGCTGTGATGTACAACATGTATACATGTATATATGTATATATATACATAATATAATTGAATTTAGATGTTGATACAGAATCTTGAATCTTCTGCAATTGAATGTCACCAAACAGGATACCGTATGAAACGTACATGCGGTCCTATTATATACGTACAGCACCTGGACTCCTCATGGCGAGACTCCCTGGCAACCGCCAGGCTGTTGCGACAAAATGAGTTCGCGTTCTACCTCAATGTCGACAGCCACGGACCTGGCACAGTTGGTTGGTACAGGGTTGCGTGGGGAACAGCGTTTCGGACAAGGTCCTGGTCTTTGCTTCGGGTGACTCTTGATGTTCCTTAGGAATGAATCCCTTTTGGAGAATAGTTTCTACTTTTTTCTCGGTTCCTTAAGCAAATCCAAGTTCAAGGGCAAGAAAGAGGCTTTGTCGCCGACTGTTTCGGTCTCTAAACTCTCTCATGATGTTGTTTATTTGCAAAGGGCTCATTGTTAGGGGTTGGACAGGTCAATGTCTTCGTTTTTTGTGTGTGTCTTTGTGTTTGTGTGTTTTCACAACAAAGAACTTGGGGCCAAACAGTCTTAGATTGTTGTTGTTTTGTTCATGGATTTGCACTGCACGATGCATCATAACGCTTTTCCCCCGAAAAAAAGCGCCGCTTTCGGACCGCGTCCGTCCTGATGCCGAGGATGATCTTAGGGAGTGCAAAAAACACTTGTATGGTGACAGGGACGGTGGAGGGACGCCTTGGTAACATGCGTCATGCTTTTTTTGTTTTATCCAATTGCCATCTAGAGTTTGTAATGCTTGGCGATGCTTTGGTTCCGAAGATTTGGATTCAAAAGCATTTGGCGAGCTAATTGCATTGATGTTCAAGCTCAAACAGTCTAGAACCCTTTCCACCGAAGCTGATGCAACGCCCAGGCAATCGCCCTAGTGCCTTGCTGTGGGGAGGCGTGGATAAGGCACAGGATGTTGTTGGGGCCATGTAACTGTGTGGATATGCGCAGTGGCGTTGGCCTATGTTTTGAACATTGAACATGGTGGAGATGCATTCATTGATTCATCAAGGTATGAGAGCTCAAATTACCACACTTGACTTGTCGAGGGTTTGTTTCAAGACAAAGTAACAATCTAGCTGATCGAGCTATCTCCAAGATGCAGCTGTGGGCAGGCAGAGATGCTTGATGCTGTCGTTCAGCCAAAGCCAGCAATAAAGGGAAACCCTCAAGTCTCCATCATCCGCTTCCAAGGGGTCGAACATGGACAACCCTGCATTACTTGTAGGTCTCCATTTGACACCAGCGCTAGCTAACGATGCTGGTGTTCAGTGCTTTTCCCGGGACAATGCTTCTTGCTTCCTTTGCCTTCCACTCGGCAGCCAGGATCTCTATGAGGGAGACATCGTCATGTTCCCCGTGGCCACTTGTCAACCAGAGAAGGAGCAAACAAGGAAGATTGCATAGGTGGCCTTTTACGCCCTTTGTTGGTTGGTTCATTAGAGTGGATACCCGGTCATGTACGACCAATAGGTACCAAACTGACCCCTCTATTATTCCCAAAGGACATGCTTGGGAAGACCTGCTCGTTTCCTGTCGAAAGAAACAATGCAACCAAGCACTAGCGAATAGGAGTGTTGATGAGTGTTGAGACTGCCAATCAGTGAGGGTTGACCCACCAAGGGATGTTCTTTCCAACCTTTGCCAGCTTGAAACCACATGAAAAGATCAACTACGTAGGCAGCTCATGTCGTCTTCACCCGGCGGAAACCGTTCGTTCACATCGTTGGGCACACTTCGGTGGATCGGGAGTTGTTTGCTCACTCCTCCAGAGGTGTTTTCTGTTGTTTTGTCTTATAATGAGCCTTTGTTAGTTGCATGTGTTTCACACTAGATACACATAATTACACATAATTACTAAATGTTTGATATTTTAATGCTGCATATTATGTTTGTTTATTGTTTTACATTGTCACAGTTATGGATTCCAATCCAAGCTGATTTGTTTTTATGTCCTTCTTTCGGGCTCAGTCTACACCAGGCAAGTCAACATAGGACCTCTCGTCTTCGTTTGGAAAACACTGGTCACTCGACTCACGTCACTTCGGTTGCTTCGTCGGTTCGTCGGGCGGCTGAGGTGAAGCCACACTATTGGGCCCTGGAGCTCGTGGACTTCAGGAGACGGCGAGACGGGCCCGGGCGGAGCTCGTGGAGGCGGAGCAGGCCTGGGTGGAACGAGCTACTAAGTAGCACAGGTATCACTCATGATCATCACCACTGCACAGTAACTGCTGGGAGAAGTAGCACAGTAAGTCATGGTGCCGAACCGGGCCCAACCTTTTTCTTTTCAACAGGAGTTGTTGAGGAGAGTTCCTGTAGCAGAGACCGATGGGGTCTTTTCTTCTTTTGCCTTGGACATAGATCAACAGATACCTCGTGTGGATGGCCAGTTGCCACACCTGAAAAGAAAAACCACATTTACTTAAACATTATAAAATGATACAGATGATACAGATACAGTCAATTAAACATGCTAGAATGACAACAAATGAGGTTGGACACCTTTTGCTTGTTCGTTGTATTTTGCCTGTTGGATCTGGGATGAAAGGCGGTTGATAGTCTATGCTAGCTCATGCAAAGGCAATCTAGTTGTAGTGGCTGGATTGATTTGGGCATAGAAACTGCCTCAGGGGCTGTCGAATTTGAGACCTGGATGAGTTTGGAATGCCTCCTGTGTCCAATTTTGGGCTCCGGAAGTGGTTTTTCATTCATCGCTTGCACTGGTTGAATCACCTCCTTGTTGCGCTTGTTGTTTCCAAAAAACATCCTTGGCTCACAACAGTCTTTAGAAACAGGGCAGGTCGGCTTTTGAAGACATGTCGAGGTCGGCTCTTGAAAATATGTCCATGTGAAATGACTTTTCCTTGAACACCACACTCCTTCGACATACCCGCAACCACCCGCATCCAGGATCGGCAACCGCTCACTCCTCGGCAAAAAGCCCACTTATTTGATTGTGGACACCGGCCGCGTCCTCAATGGAATCCTAGGGAGTGAATGGGCCGTCCACATACGCCTCCATGGGACTAGTCCCATGGGTCCACCTCGTTTTGGGGTTCCATGTGGTCCGAATAGCAGGGGACGAGCCGGTCCAGAGTCCTTGCAGGTAAAGGTGAAGGACGCAAAATTCACCAAGCCAGCTGATGAGCTGCCAGGTGGTGTGCGCCCCAAACAGGTGACAGTGTGGCCTGCTGCCCAAATTCAGCAGCGACACAACACTCCTAAGGGTGGTGGTGCATCAGTGCAGAAAAATGGGCAACGGTGAAAGAAGTGCTGCGGCAGCTGGAAGAAAGTGGTTAAGATGATTCTGCCAACCCCAGCCCTCCATAGCCCTCCTATCCTTGAGTGGTCCCAGTTCCTGAACCGTTAGAGTGGTCTTGGTCCTGCAGGGTGGTTCTTGCATGTTCTGGCCTTGTGTCGGTGGTACCCTGCCGTCGAGGCACCGGGAAAGCTCACACTTTCAACTTGATGATTCGTTCATGTTTCCACCAAAGGGGGACGATCCATGCAGATCCCAAAATATCAACTGGTCACGTTTGAAAACACGAACGAAGCACTGGTAGTGATGTTTACCCCTGCAGTGTTGACCGAACGCCACCGTTTCGTGCGGTACGACCGGAGAGTTCCCGGTTGAAACGTCCACCGACCGGTAAGAGTTCACTTCGTGAAACCGTCACGAAGTGGGAGCCCAGGAACCACCTACTTCACCGCACCAGAGTCTATCTATGGGGCAATCATGGACTCCTTCCCAGAGGCAGGGCCATGGATTGCTTCGTTTGATAGCATCGCATGGTTTCAGTGACGCTGCAACCAACTGAAGGACCAAGTTCATGATCAAGACTGGAGTAGTAGGATTGATGTTTTTCACTGCATTTGACCATGGATCCGATATGATCCGATCCACTCCGACGGATTTTCTCTGACAACCTTAAGACCACACATGAACATGTGTGGTGACCAGACATTTGTTAGTTTCAACGAGAAGGTTTTATCAGTTCTCACGTGGTGCTTCTTGGTGATGGTTTCCTTTTTCTTGCGTGTACCCCCTCTCAAAAAAATAATGCAAGCTGAGCAGGACGCCTTTTGTGGAGGCAGATTGTTTTCCAGGGATCAAAGGTCCACTTCTATGATTCATTGCTTTGTTTCAAGGTCGTGAACAATCCAAAAACCTTCCAAGGTCGGGAGAAGCCGCCTGGGAAGTCTCGAGGGACACGGTGGGATCTCAGGCAACATGTGTTTTTTTTTCCCAGTTTCTTTGCTAGTGTTTCTTAACGATGTCAAGAACCCTACCTGCCACACTGGAACAACCCTGCCTTTGGGTGGACGGAGGATGGTATTGGCAGCTTTTGCATGTTGCGAGGGGAACACGGTCATCCCTTGGTCTTGGGTGTGGGATTGCTCTCAACCGGAACAGTCTTTGTTGATGGTGCAGTTTGGACGCCTTTGAATTGCATTAAGAACTATTATTTACATAATTGTTTTTCTAAGGAAAGCCATGAGAAGGGAGCTCGATAGTGGCGTTGGACACACATGAAAGGTTCATGAAGTTGGATAGCCCAATGGGGCCTGAAGACAAATATAACGGAGCCTGAGCGAGCCAGATTTCTCACCGTCACCCCCAGGCTCCGTGTTCTCATGTTGAGAAGACCTATCTGCCATTGACCTATGTCCTTCGAAGCCGGGAAGCTAAGCGAAACGTAGAAGCCCAGCGAAGGGACCTGCGGACCTGCTCGTCACTGAACTCGGTGTGTTCTGGTCGCACGACTGAGACACTTCTCGGGGTTTCTACTAGCAGCTCCTGGCATTACTACTACTAGTAGCCAATAGCTACTAGTGCCAGCTGCCAGCGCAGTTTCGATCAAAAACAGATAGCGTTGAGAAGACATCATATTTTGTGGGCTTTTTTGCCATCTACCCCGTCGCGTGTCCTTTTGGTTCCTTCCTCCTGTCCCCTTTTGCCTCCCCTTCTCTATCCCTGTTCTTGTCCCTCTACCTCATGGGGCTGGGACATGACAAGAATAGATGTCACGTCACCACGTGAGACATAAACAACAAAGACACCCATCTTGACTTTTGATGGCGCATCCCTGTCAACGGTGATGGTCTCTAAGCCATCTTCCTTGTTCAGCTCTATTTGGAAGACAGGAGCATTGGTGACAACAAATCGTGGTTTCTTGTGCGCCATTTTTGATTATCCAATAGTGCACAACACCTGTAGGTCTGTATATAGGTCCGTTGTTGCCACCATGCCTTTCAAACGAACGACGTCCACCCAAACGAACAACTACCGTCCCTCCATCCTGGACATGCCCCAAATTTCACGGAAGTTTTTAGGGTTTTACTCAGATGAGCTGTGGGTGAAAGCTGGGTAGAAGCGGTGCTAACCCATAAAACCACAGCTCATCGAAGACTTCGATGAGCTGTGGGGTGAAAGCTCGCAGGCGCCCACGCGCCCCAGGTGGCCCGAGCAGCACCTGGGATCTTAAGGTCTCCCAAGAGACGTGCGCGGAAAACGCCCTCCTCGTTGAGGTAACTGATCGTGTCAAGGACCAAATCACCAAAAGACTCTTCTTATATGTTCTTATTTCTTATGGTTTATGGTTTCTTCTTATGATTTCTGGTTTCTTATTGTTTCTGGATTCTTCTGACGATTTCTTTAAAACAACATCGAGAACAATACTTTTCTGATCTCTTCTTCATCCCCCTCCTTTGACCACACAAGGCAGTGGTTTGCGTCGCATGCTGCATCGACAATGCCACAGGCAAATCCTCGAATTGACATGTGGTTTATATATAATATAAGTAGGAAGTGAGAGGCCAGTAACCACCGCCAACTATCAATCATGGAACAAAAGGAATTGTCTAGTCTAGTGAACTGTGTGAGCAGTTTTGGCGGAGCGGCGAGGTACATGGTGGGCGACGACGCAGACAACTGCATGCCTGCTTTCATGAGGCTTGACATCAAGAAAGAGCTGCTTGGCAGACGAAGACAACGGCGCTGCCAAGACTTCGGGGACCCAATCGCGGACAGGGAACAAATCTTAGCATGTGGACATTCAGATCATTCAGTAAATCCAAGCGAGAAAGTACAGAAACCCAATGCTGAGGAGTTTCGTCCTCGCATGAATTGAATTCACTGTTCTCCAGAACATGCTCCGTTTACTAAGAATAAGGACTTGTTCGGACGAATACCAGGTGCACCTGTGGAAAATTTGTTCAATGTCCAAAGCAGGCCATATCAATAGTCAGACAACAACATCTATATGAGATTGGGGCCCGGGTGGTTTGTTTGCTTGGGTTTGTGCAGAAGAAACAAGATGGTGTACACCATTGTACACCAAATCAATGGAATGTTGCAACATGTTGCAACAAGGTAGCACCATATTAGGCTCATCTAAAACACTGCAAAGTTAAACAACAAAAACCTCAGAAGTGGTACAGCATAAAGTATTAGTCCTTTTTTTTACAGCCTCAAGTTGTTTCAATATACCTGAACATGTTCTGCGGAGGAGAACAAATGTTGAGACACCTGCAGCAGGTCATGTCTTGCCTATCCGCAACTGAGCGAGGATAGGAGTTGCCCGGGTTCCAACATCGATTCAATGTCAGACAACCATAGTCTTCCCAGGGACTTGTCTGAAGACTGGGACATGGATGAACATGGTTCAGCCACCTGGGTGCTTTAGCAAGCCACCTGGGTGCAAAAGGCGACAAAATGCGCTTCACAGATCTCAAGCACATTTTTTGAGGTTCGGCCCTGCCATGATCCTAGGGGAGGCGGATGCGGATCGCGTTAACTTCAGCTTTCATGAGACCTGGAGCTTGCAGCTTTGCCCTCGCAAATGGGACACGGTACAGTACTCCAACACAATTTCATGCTTTGTGCTTGGCTTGGGCAAGGTCAAGAGGAATGTTTTTGCATTACATGGAGTGGATAGAGTTGGGCTAGATTTCATGAGTATGATCCAACTTGTTTAGTCTTGCTTCTCTATTCGACTCAATGTCCATCTCCGGGCCAGGTCTTTATGCGCCATTTCTTCACTGTCTTTAGTCGTGGCAGTGGGGATTTGAATGAGGCATGGGGAGAAGTTGACTTGTGAGGCAATATTTGCAAGTGTGATGGTCTTTCCAAGCGATCCTCATTTCGGGGAGGCCCCTGGCAAGGGTTTGAAGATCTGAAGTTCAACGGGGTCAAACGTGTTCTCAAATTGAAGACATCCAATTCGGGATTCAGTGATGTTTTTGAGACGCTCAGGGGTGTCCATGAGGGAACTGTGTATGCGCATTACTTTGCTTGGGCGATTAATCTTGGTTTCACGGCCTAGCTTGACCAGCCCCTAATTTGATCCAATTTGTAAACACTTCTTAGGTTTCCAAGTCAAATGCTCAGCGCCCAGATGTTTGATGAACCCTCTAAACACGCGGTGCTGTGTGTGTTCTCAGAAACTTCCTGGAATCACTCCGAGACCTTCGTACCATCCATCCCTGAAGAATGTGACTCCAGATTTCTCGAGACTCCAGCTGGGTCACCAAGCCTTTCGCTCTTGAACGGAGAAAGACCCACGTCCCGTTGTCGGTCCATCAGTGGAAGGGAGCTTCGTCAACTCGGCTTCCTGCGGGTCCTGTGTGCGGGGAGATGGACCAAGAAGGTGACTTCATCCAATTCTGCACTCATGTTCTGCACCGTCTAGATGGGGCGGGTGTAGTCCAAGCCTGGTACCAAATTGAGTGTTTTCGGCGCTGCACATATCTATTGCGGTTCTCAGTCAGGTTCGGCTTCCAGTCAGTCCAGGGCTGGAACACTACACGGGACCCTACCAGGAGCAGATTTCAAGGGTCCAGACTCCAGACTCAAACGAAACTGGAAGCGGCCTCGACTCCAGATCAAGGGTCCTTCGAGAGATGAGCCCACCCAAATTGCACCCACGGAACCTTCTGCACTAAGCAACCCCAGCAAGCTGTTTGCAAAGGATCATCTGATTGGGTTGGAACCTCCCTGTCTCGAGTTGGAGCGGAATCACACCCTTTGCTGAGGCAGGCACCTGAATCCAAGAAACAGCTTCTTGTTGGAACTGGAATTTGGTTCAGATGATCTGAGGGTCGTGGGATTTAGAAGCTGTTTTTGCTGGTTGGTTGAGGGGAAGAGGCCGGGCCCGACGCTCTCCAGGGCATCGCTGCCCCACATCGCCGGGTCCTGCGCCAGGCCAAAGTGGGCTTTGCGCCAGCAAAGCTGGGTCAGACGCCCAAGGCAGGACCTCTTTGTGGTAAAGCCTCAAACCCTTCCAGAGACCACAGGCCCGGAACACTAGAGGACCAGCCTCAGATCAAGAGGGCTTTAAAAAAATGTTTCATCAAGCTTCAAGTTCAAGCCCGTTTTTCCCACCTAGCAAATTTCATCAAATATTAGAACACTGATGAGCTGCCATGACGTGCATGGCTGCGGCTGAGGGGAACCTTTTGTTTGGAGATTTTGACGTTTCTAGTGGTACAAAGCTGTTTCCAAAATGATGGACCAATATATGGACCATGATTTTGCCAAGCAATCTTTGCCAAATGATGATTCGATCTTGGCAAGTGCATTGGATAATTTGAAATTTGGATGGCTCGTGGCAGTGCTTTTGGCCGTTGTGGCCGCTGAGGTGTGGCAGCATGTCAAGCTAATTACATAATGACTGGTGATAGATGTCCTTCTTTGAGGTACATGAATTCCTGCAACCACCAGTGACACCTTCTGGGAGTGAAGAAGGGCTTACTTGTGCTTATTTGCCTATGTAGCAGCTCTGAAGATGGCTGAAAATGGGCCGTCATTACCCATTTGTAGCACTTTTAGATCTGTATTTGTAGCACAGAATATGATCATGAAACCGTCTAGTGTAGGGTGATTCCTTGGTGAGCTTGCTCATGCTTTTCTTCCGCACATAGCAGAACAACACACACATATATATATATATATACAATGTAATATTCTCCTGGAGAACAGCCTCCTTCAGATACCAAACACCGTGCTCTGTCGGGCAATAGTCGTCCGATCTGGATGGTTGGATCGACTGGGTCCGACCGGGTCATCCGACCGTTGCTGTCGGGTTCTTCTTCGTTGCCTCGTTACAGGTCACTTCGAATTCTTCCTTTCAGACCGCGACCAGTCCGGAGGAGCGTCCGGGCGCGAACACAAGCCAAGCGCCGGGACGGGGCGGCCGGTGATGAGGATCTATAGCAACTGTGAGACTTCGAAGGATACCGATATACTACAGTAGACTTTTGTATGGTCTGAGGTTACCCTTTGAGCTATTCTTCAATCGAATACTTTTCCACAGTCGTCCAGACCATGGCAGTGGCGTTTTGTTCCTCTGCGATTCTCTGCGACTTGGAAGTTCGCTCGGCCGTGTTGCGACCTGTAGATCCTGTAGTGATATGTTCATTGTTTTGATATGTTTTCATTGTGTGGAACTCCAATGACCCCTCTAAGAGAGTGATGTAATATAAATTTGATGTGTTGCTTCCGCCAAAAAGAGACTGAATATTGTAACTGATTTGGCCCCACCCAACAGCTGCACGAGCGATGCGCATTGTGCAAGGAAGCAGAGCCGAAGGTGTTCAATCCAGACATGAAGAAACTTCAGCTGTTGAGTAAATTCGAAACAACTTGTACTTGAAAGAGCCATGAAGCAGCGAATCTCGGGTGAAGCAGCGAAATTTTGATCGTTTCTGGGTTTGCCCGAATCGCAGGTCCTCCAACAAGAGGGTGATATGATGCACTGGGGGCCATAACTCATAATCCTACTTCCCCCCCAGCCTGAAGAAACAGTTCCAAGAGCAGCTTCCAAGACCAGCCCACTTTCATGCTTGTCCGTGAGCAGTATGGTACTCGTAAGCCTTCACCAGGAAACTGGACACTGACAGACACTGACACACACACACACATACAATCCTTGTACAAAAAACAAAACAACACAGCTGCCACCCCAAGAAGCATTCACATTAGGTGGCCTTCCCCTGAAAATCGTCCTAAAGCATCGCCCGATGCTTTGTCCCACTGTCCAACAACTACTCCTTGTTGAACCCTCGACGGATCCTCCGGCGCAGGCCTCTTTGATCCGTCGTGAGCGGTAGCAGTGCCGGTATCATCTGAACTTGGCCACCTGTCAAATCAGGATTGGGGTGCGCAAGGGGGACGACGCAAGGTGTTTCAACTATGTACGATCTGCCCTGCGGGGTTAGGGTGCTTGCAATAGTTTGCCATAAACTGCTAGCTGCTAGAGGAGTGGGTTTGCATCGACTCAAAAGCAACATGAAGCAACTATCGGCGATTGTTCTAACACTATCTAACAATTACATGCACGATTGCAACGTTCTTCCAGTGAAGTGGACCAGGAGGAACAACAATCAGATTACAGGCAACCAATGATCTACCCTGCGTGTGATGGACACTTCATGGAACCACACTTTCCTGCATACTCATACCAGTTCAGGATATTATGTGAACCGCTGCAAAGGGTCCAACGAACAAAACAAACAAACAAACAACACAACACAATCAAAACAAAAAAACAAAACAAACAATCAATCAAACAGACAAACAACCAAACAAGCAGCCAACCAACAAACAACCAAACAACCAAACAAACAGCCAACCAACATCAACCAACCAACCAAACCAAAAAACAATCAACCAACCAACCAAACAAACAAACAAGCAGACAGACAGACAGACAGACAAACAAACACTAAAGCAAACCAATAAGCAATACATTAACAACCAAGCAAACAACCAAACTGTACAATCAATCAAAAAAACAAAAACAATCAACCAAACAACCAACCAACCAAACAGACAATCAACTCGGGACTAAATCATGACTAAAGGCAGGACCCCCAGGTCTTCTTTTGCTCAGACCTTGACTCTCCAGGACTGCAGTATATGGCAGCTGGGTTTGTTTGATGCCATCAACTTTACGCGAAAAAATAAATGGAGAACCCGCTTGTAATTTTGTGACAAAGACCACATGTTCAGTGGTCGGTACTCAAAAGAGGGATTTGATCCAGGTGCTAGGTATTTGTTTTGTTTCATATAACTTGTATTACTTGTATATTTCATTATTCTACATGAAGTGTTCTTCCCTTCTCGGGTACATCGCTGTGCTGCTCCAGCAGATCTCGCTGGTCGAAATGATGCCAAGGTCTTGCGCAGCTGATCTGAACGGGGCGGACCCATTTTCCGGAAAGCTTGGAGGCGCAGAAAGCCTCAGAAGAGCAGTTGATATCTCACCAAACTAAGCAAGGCTACCAAGATGGGCAAGGTTAAAAAGAGGGCTTCCTCTGAATCGAAGCAGCGGAGCTGCAAAAGTGGGTGACCCCAGAACGGCTAAAACCCGAAAAGTTCTTGCGTGACCCGACCCCTAAAGTGCCTTAATGTTTAAGTGCGTCTTCAGATTAAAGCAGCTCACCCTGAAGTCAGAACTCTAGGCATCCTGCCGACAGAGCCACACAGAAATGTTTGGCCTGGCCCAATTGTTGGATGAACAACTAGCAGTAGGTCAAAGTCTCACTCCCAAAGCCTACCGGTCAAGGTGTCTCAAACCCATACAACCTTAGTCCAAACATGATGATCATGATGTTGCATACTGTTGAACCAGTTGAGCCACCAAACTCCGAAACTGCCTGGTGGATTGTTCACATTTCTGCTCATCGCCCGGAACTGCTGCTGTCCCTCTCAAAGGGCCCGGGCCGCCCGAGATTCCTCGCGATGGCGGGCGATGCCACGGTGGATGAGACCGCCGCGGAGGTCAAGGCGGGACGACCACAGGACTGGGGCGAGAACGGCAGGAACCGCGGGTTTCAGTTTTTATTCCTTTTGTTTGTTTGCCCCTTCCTGGATTTCGTGGCAACCAACTGGTTCTTACCCTAAGAATCATTGGACCCTCCTATGGAGGGTTTGGACCCTGCAGAACGCAGGGGTTTGGACCCGAACCAAACCTTCACCGAACTGAGGGTCCTTGATTCTTAGGGTATACAGAAAACATTTTTTTCAACCTGTTAGTATGTGATGTGGGAGAGTCTGTGTGGCATTCCGGTTGGCCTGTTAGTGGCATGAGGTGACCATCCAATTGGCCTAATTCGAGTTGGGTGGTTGACACAGGCGGATGAACCCAGAGTTCCAGCCAGGGCGGGCAGAAATTGGAAACCTTACCATGTCAACAGTTTCTGGGCCCCAGATGGGTGCGACGCAAAAAGTGAGGCCAAGCAACCCGCAAGTTCTACTAATTTTATGTTCATTGTCCAGAGGGGTTTGAGGGGCACTCGATCCCTGAACAGATGTGCAGCATCACTTGGGGTTTGGCCCAAATAAGGGATAAACATTCATAGTTACATTAGTTGTTGGGAACCAGGGGTTCCACAGACCCCATTTCTTTGTTCCTTACACTGCAGTTTCTCCTATGCTATCCAGCATATTCCAGGGAAAGTAGGGTGCCAGGCAAAAAGGAACAAGAACATCCACGAAACGGTTTCGGGTACAAAAACCCAATTGGAACTGATCAAAACATATTATACTTTGCCTATACAGACAAGCACTTTCATGTCGGGTTTTGGTTTTTGGGTGTCCCATCCAGCCAGTAGATGTTCTGAGGGGCACCCTGTCCCCCCTGTCCAAGTTTGACACCCCTTGGTAGATGGGCAGGCCATCCTTGGGATCTACACTCGGAATCATCACGGAAGTGGAGTTCACCACGAGGTTTGATGGTCGGAAAATGGTCATCCGAGTCATCGCGCTCCCCACCCATACGATCTACCAGCTCCTTCGACCGACCCTTCGATCCAGGTAAAGACCGAGAAACCCGCCGACAGCGATGAGGCGGTGGAACATGGATGAAGCTTGGGGGCGGAAGCTGGTTCGACGGGTGGACGTGCCTATCGGAATGGAAGGTCAAGACATGCCGGAAGGGATTATATACCCTTCCAAGATCTTCCAGGTGTTTCCTCCAAATTCACTCACTTCCATTGCTTCCGGGCCCCAAATTTTCCGACTTAAACCCACCGGTATTGGAACGGTGGAACGGTTTCGTGTTTTGGGATTCCATGGAGGCAGATCCCGGCGTCAACACCGATGGCCCGCTTTTGCACGGGCCTATCACGGGGCGTTGTTCATTTCGCGACTTGGCCAGGTCGTAGCAGATCCTGCGGGCTTTTTGACGGGCACCGTGAAGATTGAGGAGCGAGTTCTGCGCGGAACCGGCGGAGGTTGAGGTTTAGAGTTTAGAGGACACGTTTTTCTTGTTGGAGGGTCTTGTTTTTACTTTGGGGTCAAGGAAACCAACCATCGTTTGGAGGTAGAAGACTGTTGTTTGCCGCTGGGGATGGATTCTGAATGATTTTGAGATCAAGGTAGAGAATAAGTCACCAGCAGCATGGACCGAGGGATACTGAAATCCAATAATGTGCTATAGTATGCTATAGTGTAGAGTCTATAGAGTATTGAATTGGAGAGACTTTCCAACCAATGGATTTGAGTTGATTGTGTGGCCTCCCAAGGACCTCTTTGCGACCTGGTGTAGACAACCCCATCACCTCATCACCGATCAGACCCTCCCATGACCCCATGGCCTGTGGAAGACCAGTTCCAAGTTCCGAGTTCTGAGCAAACAGGAAGCTTTCTCTATGTTGGGTGTATCTTAGACACCCTGGGCCCAGTGGATGATGGAGGTTCTTGTTTATACCGACTGTTTCAGGTTTACTGGGACACCCTTATGAGCTCTATGACTTGGGTGTGTGTCCTATTACCTGTAACAGTCAGTAAACAAGAACATCACTATTTTTTGAACAAGGCCTGCAACCTAACCATCATCCACTGGGCCCAGGTGTGTACCTCGGATAGACCCTATCTACGACTCTATGAGAAGCAGTGTTTGTTGATCATGAGAAGCATGTTTTTGACTGGTCATTGCATGGGCCCGCGGAGTCTCCCGACCGAGGACTGGTCCTTTTTTGATCTTTTTTGGGAATGGAAGGTTCAGGGAGACCAGGTTCCGACCAGGAGTCGAGTTTTTCTTCACCGTACCGGTGGTCTTTCGCATCCCCAAGAGGGAGGTACCTGAACCTTTACTACAGGAATTCTTTTGGAACGCGACGTATATATATATATATGATGATATATGATGTCTGTCGACGGATACTGTGTTGAGGTAAGATAAGATATCAGATTCAGATAAGATCAGGTAGACACCTGGGACAGGGCTCTGCACTTTGCACCTTCTTCGTTCAATGATTTGTTGGTGAACTTCCCTGTCTACCGTCGCCAGGTTGATTCCACCAACTCGTTAATCCATGTGGTACCAATCTAATCCATCAGAGCTCCAGGATGGCACCACAATCAAGAAGGAGGACTTAGATGCGAAGGCCGAGATGTTGCGAATCTCCAATGTGAGTTGAAAGAGTATCAGAATCAGATGGGTTCCATTGAAGAATTTGCAGGCCCAAGCATCTATATGACATAACTAACCTAAATATGTCCAGTATGTCAAATAGCTTGGATGAGCTCCAGAACTGAGAATTGTGTAAGCATTTGATCCAGCGAAACGTCTCACAAGCCTTGCTGGGCGGGCTCAGACGGAAGTCTGGGTCCGGTTGGCTGAGTCAAACAGCAGGTGAAGCAAGAGAAAAAGGAAGAGGAGAAGGAGAATGGCCAAGTCATGGAGTCAAGTTGTTTTCTTTTTCCAGCCGGATCAACAGCCTAGGACATCCTAGGACAACTTTATTTGCAATTGAAGATGGTTGACATCAAACTGACAAGTTCAGCTCTTGCAGGATGTCACTTGTGCGACTCATAGAGCTGGACAAAAACACCGGACACTGGGGGAAGCCAGCCATGACGGAAGCATCACTGGGAGGGAAGCCCCATAGAATCCAATAGAATCCAGGAAACTCATGCAAAACCGGAAAGCCATCGTCGATTCTCATGGGCCACATCTCACCTCGATTCTCCAGCTCTCCATCGATCTCCAGCTCTCCAGCTGCTCGTTTTGCGTTCCGTCACGGTTCCGTCACGGGTGTCAGGACATCAAGGTGGATGCCGTGAAGGGCGAAGGAGTAAAGGGAGAAGGAGTGAAGCAAGAAGGCACAGTTCTGGGAGAAGTGGAGCCCGGTTGGATAACTAACCCCGGTCTGTTGAAGGCACTCGAACCTCGTGTTCTGCCTGGTCAGCGCAGGTCAGGTGACTGGTGGATGAGTCACCCCCGTTTTCCCTCAATCCATGGGTGGTGAATGGTGGATGTGAGTGTCCATCCCTTGTGGTTGAGGTGGTTCAATCCTATATTTGTAAGCTAATTGTAAATATAGTTTTAATCCCTAAACGTCCAGGACCATCCGAATCGGACGTCCTTTAGGTCCCAAAGACCATTCTCAGGATGTACTTTCACCTCCAAGACTATCCTCAGGAGGTACTTGGACCCTATGGGAATGGGACAGACTGAAGGAAACATTTGGACGTCATCCTTCCCAGACCGGACACGAAACGCCCCTTCAGTTGCTGTAAGTCTTTGGGCCGAGCTCCGAGTGTCAAATCCTGGAAGTCTGGAAATCCAGACTTGGTGAGGGGAAGCCTCCAGAGTTCAGGTTGATGGCCTGTGACCCTGTGAGCTGGGTGATTCACGGGTTTATCCTGTGATCTTGCTTCCGAGATGGGAATCCGGATCATGGGGGATCCGCGACTGGATCTCAAACGCGGGCGAACTACCTCCCTGGAGAGGGGCATGAGATGAACGACCCCGAGCGTTTCTACGATGTGTTTAGTATCCTGTTTGAGTTCATGATGTTTTTGTTATACTGTAATAAACTTGTTTCGCCCTCGCGCCAAGCCAGGAAATGTCAAGCAGGAGAAGATGAGAAGTGAAGAAGATGTGCCGCAGCAGAGATGAAAGTGGAGTTAGAAAGGATCAGACGTCCAGTATCCCAACAATCCATGCAATGTATGAAGTTTAATAGTGTTTACCTATCTATCCGCCCTAAAAACCAGGTAGGCTTCCATACATGGATTGTTTGGGGCTGTTCTTTTCCCAGCTGCTCAGGTTTCCTCAGAAACCTGTCTTATGCGTCCAAGTCCCTCGTCCCCAAGGACTAGCATCCGAGCCGTTCGCGGTGTCGATGCCGTTCGCCGTCCGGTCGACGAAACAGGACGCTTCGAGCGTCAGGTCGAGCCGCAGTTGCCTGAGGTGAAGAATGAGATGAAGATGGAAGGGACGAAAAGAGAAGACTTCTACGCCCTTGCGACCAAGGGAGAGGTGGACATGGGTGACCGCCACGTAACCGTCATCGCTGGCGATCGACCGGCGACCGGTGGCTCCACCGGGCGACCGGAGGAAATGGAGATGAAATGGATGACGTTCTCATCAGGGTCGGTGGGGGAGTTTTCCTTTACAAGACCCAGACACACAGGTTTACAGTCACCATTTTCCTCCAACAAAGCAGCTTCGGAGTAGAGGAAGATCACAAGAGATCACAAGTCTTGATTTGCAAAAGGATGAAGGACCAATTGTTCAGGAGGGGAGCAAGGGCTCATTCTTCACGGGATGTTCCGGCAAGGTTCCGCTGATCATGATGTGTCAGCTGGTGTCTTTTGGCAAACCATGGTGGCTATGAGGATGGCATCCATTAACCATCATTAACACATCATTTAAGGATATTGAATGCTGTGAGGAAGCTACTGAGAGTGCAAGTCAACTGTAGAGCAGCACTAAAATTGGACCAGGGGAGCATATTGGACAGTCAGATTTTATGTGTATTCGCAAACTTGCCAGCGGGTCTGGCCAACTTGCCGTTTCATGATTTACCCTTTCTTATTATGTCTTCGGTCAACAAGGCTACAGCGTAGTTAGCGGCATTTAGCGACCCGAAGTTTTTTTGCGATTTTGCCAAGGATGGACTACCTGTAACAGTCGATAAACAATTTATCTAAAATGATATTTATTTTTATTCACTCACTATTTTTGAGAAAGGCCTGCCACCTATCCATTATCCTTTGTTTGTTAGTGGGAATGGCATATACCCAAAGCTCTTCGAGAAGCTCTTCATATGCTCTTCTTTGAGAAGTTCTTAACTTGCTCAGTGTTCTGGTTCAGAACTCTCAGTACTTGTATCGCCCTGCGTTGCTCTTGTTGTGTTTTTTGTGTCTGTTTGTTTTAAGTGGATCAGCCTGACGAGACACTTCCCTGATGCTAGCAGCCTTGCACTTAATGCCTTATGCTCCGAGAATTATCCTCCAGCTTGAGCTTGCAGAGTGGCAGGACTTCAACATGATGTTTGATACTACAAAGTAGGCCACTGCTGCAACTAGGGGCCAACAGAGAAAATATCAACCAGTGTTTACGCTTGAAATCGTTCGGCGGTTGCGATCCGGACTTCGTTCGGCTGTGGAAAGCAGTTCCGACCCAAGTCGCTGACTCCACAAGCGGAAATCCGTTCTGCGACCTCCGGGCGCCAGGGGGCCAAAGGTGAAGTCAAAGGCGAGACGAAAGGCGAAATCAAAGGCGAAGGTGTGAAAGGAGAGTCGAAGCGAGAAAGGCGCGAGAGTCGAAGCAAGTGCTGTCTCCACGGTTTTCGCGCTTTTGGTGAGTACTTGCACTGGGTGGCGCCGTTCTTGTAAGACTTGCCATCACAAAAGTTGGTCAGAAGGAAAGCATCCTGCACAAACTGTAATAATCAGCAGGCTCTCATTGCCATGAATATCCTCATGAACTCAAAAACTCACTCGCACAAAGACCTTTTTGACTAATTGGTGAACTATGGTGAACTGCTTTTTTGTTTGTTTTCCAGGAAGACCAATATCCTAGCCTTGAAAGACCATTCAAAGACAGTTGAATGACCATTCAAAGAAGAAGGGTTGACCTGGTGTTCAGTCTAAAGTCCTTAGTAAAACCATTGTTGTTTGGCAAAAACAATTACAACAATGGTTGTTTTCTAACCCAGGGAAATATGTTCTACCAACAATTCGTTGCCCATGGATCAAAACCCAGTTTTGGGTGTCTCTATTGCATTCCTGATGATCCAATTGTCTTGAAGAACCACTTGCTTCAAGGACTCGTGATTTTAGAAGCTGCCAATTCCATAAGTGGGCACCTGAAGGTCATAACAGAAAATCCCTTACAAGCAGTCGACTGAAGCTTTCATCCAAACCAATCCCATCGCCCGGACCTCGCCGCGCGCGGATCTGGACGAATTGGCCGCGACCCTCGTCCGTCCTGGAGGTCGAGAAGCAAAAAGAAAAAGAAGAAGGATCAGTTTATGTAAAACGCGAGGGTTCAAATGCTGCGATGTCCGAAGTGTTTGCACACCAGGGTTTGGCGAAGGCGGTTGTCGTTGTTTTTTTTTTTCTGAGACACCGAGGTCTGGACCACATAACGGGAACTCAGGAAAGCAGATCAGGCCATCGATTTTCACAAAACAATATTGATCGAAGGAGTTATCTTTATTGTTTCATATTGTTTTATGTATTTATATATATAGTAAATAAATATTATTATATATGTTTGTTTGATAACCTAGAGTCGTGTATCAGTTCTAGAATGTTTAATCATTGTTGCTTGTTAATAGAAGAACTGCGACAGTTGGTAGGTGCAAATAATTGTTTCATTTAAGGTTGTTTTTTGGGTGCCGGAATGGAACAACAAACGCAGCAAAAAAAAAAACATGTGTGGCTGGGTGGTTGCGAACAATGGCAAACATCTTTGCTGCATCTTGAAACTTAATGAATCAACAGTTGTCAGGATAGTGATCACAACCAGACACTGAATCTGACTGGTGCTTAGTAAGGAACGAGGGAATCAATCTTCAGGTATCTATAGCGGAGGGGGGTCATTCCCTTGTCCCGTCCTAAGCACCAGTCAGTAAATTCATGGAAGATTCCTCAATTCCTCAGTATGACACCTGCCATTCATGGCAGGTATCATCCTCAGGTTCATGGCAGGTATACTATGGCGGATGATACCTGCCATGTGAACATCAGCCAAGTACGGCACGTGACTTCTTCCAAAGCACCAAAATCCGTCCGGATGGGGAAGGTGAATTCCCAAAAAAACCTTCCGCGTCCGCAATTTGTTTGCTTTTTACGATGTTTTTGTGTTTATGCGTGTGTTACTTTTCCTCAGAACACAGGGTGGGTCCAAGTATATTACAGTCGACATTGCTTTTTAAGGGGGGTGTTATCCCAGGTGAGGTTCCCACATCTTCCCGCTCATGTTCTTTCACCCATTCGCGGCGCGGCCTGCACTCGGGTGCCAAGAGATCCTGGTGCCAAGAGAGTGCAGAACAGCAGACCATCACCCAGACCATCCACGGGACCCTAGTCGCATGGGACTGGAAGATATGCCGCCCCATGGACCTCAGGTCAACCACCCCAATGTGAAGTGGCCATATATGGACTGTTCAGTGTCATGTGAAATGCTATGAGGTACAACTGACGCTTCGATTTGCGATGGATCATGGTGCTCTGTTTTGGGGTGCGGACCTTTGCTACGATGGAGCTAGCAGGACAAGGTCAAGAAGGAGAAAGCCGATGGAGATGAAAAGAAGAAGGACTGCTCAGGGCTGGAGCAATCTTCTGTTCGTCTCAGGTTGGGGTTGGAGGCAGGGTCTTGAAGCACTTGGAGTTTGAAAGCAAACACCCCAACTTAGAACTGTTGTCAATCTACAGAAGCTTCTGTTGTTGGCGCCCACGCCGACAGTGAACAGAGGTGACAGTGTGGGGTCGCCCGTAAAATGGGTCTTCATCCACTGTCAGACCACCACCAGCCAGGATAAGAAGAGGAAGAAGTCTGAGTCTCCTGGAGGCTGGATCTGCAGGGACCATGGTCAAATGAAATCCAGTACCAGTCTGGAGGGGGAGGTAAGGTCTCCAGTGGGCAGATCGGCAGGCAAAAGGTTTGTATTAAAGAGAGAAATGTCACATGACAGTGACAGGTCGTTCACGGGTTCCACAATGTATAGTTTGCTTTTTCTAGCCAGAAGTCCTTGCAGGTCTCCTTAAACAAACCCATACACAGCTCCCAATTAGAACGCTCCCCCTGTTTGAAGATCCAATTGGCCTTCACTCCACTTGGAAATTCGTCGTAGGCCCGGATCAGAAGTGGCTTACGCTTACGACTGTTCGCCAGTCGTGTAGGAGCCGGGGACTAGCGCTAGGACTGGTTTTGCTTGGTGGTGATGTTTATTTTCCCTCATTAAGGGTAAATCTCCTTCTGGAGATGTTCATTCGTATTAAAACCCATTTTTAATGGCAGCAAATCCAAAGTCTGCGTGTTCCAAAGATTCATGTTTCAGGTGCCTTGAAGTGATTATATTTTCAAACAGTCCATCATGATCCATCATGTCACATTTGTTTCTTCGCCTCAAATGAGCCCCTCTGTTCCAGCGCATCCCAACAAAACACGGCTGGGCCCACAAATCGGCCGACCAACCGGACCGGACGGGGGGGGCCCTAGGCCCCGTAGACCTTCTGTTCCGGCAGGGGCCCCGGCCGATCAGGTACACGGAAGCGAAAGTCCAAGTGGGGTCCCGATACCGTCAGGGCCTCAGGGATCGACCCGGTCCCGGTCCGGGGCGGTCCGGGCTGGTCGCGCCGGTCGCGCGGCGTTGAGCCGGGCTTACAGGTGGCGAGAATTCCGACGGCAAAGTAAGATCATGTAAGAAAGTAATTGAAGGGGTGTATCCCTTCTACCTATTTAAACAAACGCGGCCATGCCCCAAATAGTAAAACCTCTGACATGTGTCATGTTTTAATTGGCACTTGGAATTATAGCTGTGAAATCGGTCCTTTCATCTCTTTGTCTCTTGGTTCACGGCTGATTGGTTTTGCGCGGTGTATTGTTTTGCTACTTTAATCAACCAACACAAATAACTAAATTATTTGTAAAAACATTGTAAAATTTATTTGTTTCAACCATGTTTCGGAGCCAGTTTGAGTTGAGTTGGCCTCGTCGATGCCGCCAACTCACACAATTGGTGGAAAGCCACCAGCTATATTGATTGTCCATCAACGCGCATTCCGAATCTCGTCAGAGGGGCCTGAGTTTCACACCGAAGCATTTGTGTTTTGTTGGAAGCATGGGGACACCGCGAGGAGCTTGGAAGCATTTGGAAGTATGGACGGTTGGTCCCCCGATCTTGAGGGAAGCCTTTTTGAATGGCGCAGCAAAGGAGATTAAGGAAATGGTTTGGACATCTATGAAGCATTCATACGGCATACATGCATGGACAAAACCTCAGGAGCACCAGAAAGATTACTCGAGTCAGAGTCACGTGTCAGAGATAGAATCCACTGTTCAATATCAGGGTGCCCTGTCAAGATCAGCTCGTTCAGTAGGATCCAATGCCCAGAACCGGTAAACCATCAAACATCCAGGGCCCATCGGAGTTGGGTGGTCTTCATGACGGACTGCGCAGTGTTTGATTGGTAACAGAGTCCAGATGTTTTTCAACGCCAGAAATCACCGACCATGCTGGGCCAGGGTGGCTTCTCCATGTCTGCCATGCCTGGTGGACGCTCGGGACTTCTGCCAGCTGCAGAAGCAGACGAATTGATGCCTCAGCCCCAACGGTTGCACCACTTGCCAGGTGTAGTATTCTCTCGCAGAGAGTGTGTATATTGTGGGTTTCAACTTAACATTACATTAAGACAATATTCGCAATGATATGCAACTACAATCAAATACATAACCCTTTTCAATGCGGCCTAGCTGGGCTCAAGACCTTCGATAAATGTTCAAATTTGATTTCAACCCTATTTGACGGATTTGTCCATTTTCACTTACTCACACGTAACTCTGCATGTTTGCTATTGTATCTGGCGCCCATTTTCTACGCGCCCATTCGCTTGTCGCAGCCAAGGCCCAGATTCTCCGATGAGGAGATGGTCCAACGATCACTGGTGCTGGAAAACCTGCGACTCGGAAGAGCTATCAAGAGCTTATCCCAGACACTCCATGGGACTGGCATATTTACATACATTGGGGTGGTTGACCCGGGGTCAATAAAAACCAGTCCCATGGAGTGTCTGGGTATTGTTTCTGTCCCCGAGAGTCCAGTCACTCATTTTACCCCTATGGTAGTGGTGGATTATGACTTCCAGGCGGGGTAGTTCATGAGTCATTGGACCTTCTGGGATAGTTTTCTGTGCGAAACACCGGAGTCAGTTTCCAAGCGGTGGAATGCTCCCATTCACGAGCTAGTCGCAAGAACAGGAACAAGAGACGAGGCACAAAAAGGGCACAGGGAAAGACGGGGGAAGCTTGGGAAAGCCATGGAAAGCCCAAAAGGCACATGTGCCACCCCTAATACATACAGAAAGATAGAAACCGTCACAGACAGCATCAAATTGCGGAAGGCTTCGAGAGCAGATGCTCCAACTAGGCTAGCTAGCCATCATTTCTGGCAGCCCAGGTCCTTAAGCTGCACCGGTCAGGACCTGTTTCGGGGCCGAGTGGCAGCCCGGATTTCCGGTCAATCGCTTCGGCCACCTACATATCTGCTTGGTCATGGCACCTGGACACTCACCCTGAGCCCGGTTGACCTTCCTCGTTCGGGCTCTTTCTATTCGTTTTTGGTGACCCAAACGAGGCCTCATGTGGGGTGCAAGTTGGCACCAAACATGTGGGTTGTTGGATGTCGTGGGTTCTGTCGACATGTCGGCAATCATGAAGTATTCATGTAGGTTCCGCGACCCGATCCACAAAGTTCTTTTTACATGTTTCTTTGCCATGTCTTGAAAGACTTGCTGGGTGAGACCGAGACCTAACCATGAAAAATGAACCACACTGGCGTTCTTTTGTGGTCACTATACTTGTCTCTTGGAGGTGCAAGCCACACAACATGGCAAAGATTGTCGATTTTCAAGCATCCAAAGCCTCTTGGATTTCCTCTGTGAAAGCCAAAGCCGTCAATTTTCTATGGCTAAGGCTTTGCAGAAATGTTGTCTTCATCAAATTTCAAAGGTCAACCTAGAGCGGTGCCTATTTTCTCCTGAGATGGTCCATTCTCTAGAGGGGCACCCTAAACCCTCACACGCCACATCATTATCATTAAATCACGCACTCCATGGTTCATGCATCTGGGTGCCACATAGAAGTCCCTACTGTAGTATTCTCCATCCTTCTCCATCTGCACCTGCAGGAGCTCATTGAGTTCTTCAATGGTGCCATCTTGGCCGTCACGGGTAATGCCGTGCATCAGGCCATCGCCATCCCGTGCATCGATGATCGTGGTCGCGACCTGGTTCGACGGGAGAATGGATATTTCCTGGATAGGCTGGCTACCAAAAGGCAACTAGCTGCTGAGAGTTTGTGGGTTTATTTGGTTTGCCTTGGTGTAAGCTCCATTCTCCACGTCCATGTCAATGACCAGTAGTGTCACCATTGCATACCATTGCGAACCATGCTGTTTCTGTTGTTTTTTTTTTCCCAGTCTATCTTTCAGTCCCCCGCTCATGTGAACTCACTCTTGGCAACAAGAAAAGCAAGTCCTTCACCGCCAGCACCAGCACGACCGAAACAGAATCGGGTCGATCCAACCCATGATAAACACTTCGATCGAAGCGGATCGAAGGACGGTTCGTTTCCACCGGTACAGGCCGCCAACCGCAATATGTCCCCGGTCTTCGCGTGCACCATCACGGAGGAAGACAGTCGCAGTAGCAAGAGGCCAGTGCAACATGGTGGAACGAGGTCGTGTGATGTGTTTTTGGCCCAGATCTTTTTGGATGGGCATGAATTTTGGGCCCAACAAGGCTCAAACATTCAAGATAATGAAGGAGGTTCCGGGTGAGAGGATGTGAATGGAGACAAGGAGGCGGGATGTGTACATGATTGTGAGAGCAACGCGGAATGTTTGCAAGGTGCTGCCAGTTGAATAAGGTCCCATCCATTGCTTGCAATGTTCAATTAGCATTCAATAGTTAACATGGTAGTATGGACCAGCCACAATGAGAGGTGCTGAGAATGGACACCACTGTGTTTTTCTTGAATTTGGACATTAGAAACTTATCATTTCAAACCAGGAAACCCTCAGTTTTCACACTGTTCCTGCCATTGGTACCCCCAGCACCGGCCTCTTCGAAGTGGGTGTTCCCAGCGAACCTATGTTTGGGTGCCCACTTTGGGAACTCTGAGCTGCCAGCTTTTCATGGATGTCCATCCAGCAGCTCAGCAGCGGGGCTCCACACAACTCCACAGGGCTCCACAGGGGCTCCGCGCGGCCGCACGGCCGGACATGGCTGGACCCAGCCGGATGGACCCAGACGGGTTGCGTGACGGGACGGGGCGCTTTTCGGCTTGCGCTTCAGCCTTGAAAGGTTGCAGCGTTTGACACTCCCTCTTTTGGGGATTCCGAGATTGGGTGTTGGGATATGTTGGGTCAACACCTCACTCCAAATCCTCGAAGGCTGACATCTCCCGTATGTATAGAGGGATCTGTTGATATTTTCGAGGGTCAATTGAACCCACAGCTATATGAACTACACTGGTCGACCGACCCATGGAAGCCTCACGACCAAATGGCCACCCAAAACCCAGACACGTCGTATGGCCACTCATGTTGACCGCTTCAGTCACGCTCATTCACCTTCCACTGCCTCCCATCCTATCCCATCCGTCTTCCCGCTTCTGCAGGAAGACGGCGGAGTTGAAGTTCCGCACGCCGGACGGTGCCTCCGTGGGCATGAAGCTCAATGGCATCGAGTACAAAGGCCACAAGGCCCCCCCAATACACAGCGCCAAAGAAAAGGTCCGACTTATATAATGGACCCATCGACTGTATGAGCCATCCAAGCACCAATTTTTGCAGTTGGACCACCCAAGATACCCAAGATATCAGATCATTGTTACTATGAAACTCATGGGGTAAGTGCATGTATACAACTCTTTCACCATGGATGGTCTGGGATGGTCTGGGTGGAGTCGCATGAAGTCATGAAGGAGAAACATGAGGGGTTTGAGGACATGGAGCAGGCACCAGAAGCACCAGAAGCACCCCCCTTGTTGTGTATCATTGCCACTAGCTATCAACAAAAACGACAAACACACACACACACTCATGGATATGCGTACTGACTTGATTGCGGTGCCACACGCCGGCCTAGGGTTCCATTTCCTAAGGGTACAGGTAAGGAAACCTAAAAGAAGAGGAGGTCCATCCAGCGGAGGTCTCAAAGGTTTCAGGTGGCCAGCAACTCCAAAAGAAAACACCGAGCGAGCCGACGACAAGGTGACGACGTACGTTCAATGAGGTTCTTGGCTTAGCCTCACGCCATGCAGAAAATGGAAAAGTTGCAGGTACGTCGACAGGACGTCTCCCGTCGATATCACGAGCAAGAGATAGGTGTCTTCGTTGGCACCTGCCCTATCTCTGCTCCAGGTGCCCCCTGCAATAAAACTAAACAAATCCAGAAGGATCCCTATGACTCCAAGGGTTACACACACACGCCTCCCCGAAGGGAGGCATGTTTTAAGCTCCGCGCCAAAAGGTGCGGACAAAGTAGTAGCAAGGCCAGGAACCTCTAGTAGCGTCAAGTAGCGACCTGGCACCTAGTAGGAAGGCCAGGAGCCCCTAGTAGCAACCCAAGCTAAGGTCCTGACAGGAGGGAGGGGTGGGGAGAGACGAGAAAAAGGAAAGAGAAGGAAGGAAGGTGTTCCCAGCTACGACGCAAGCGTCCAAGGACACACCAAAAGAAGAGCGGAGAAGGGTTCCCAGCTATGACAAAAGCATCCAGGGACACCCAAGGAGGAAGGAAGGTGGAGAGGGAAGAGAGAAAGAAAGAAAGAGAGAGGGAGAGAAAGGGAGAGGAGAGAAAAGGAAAGGGCAGGTGTTCCCAGCTACGAAGAATCGTCCAGGGACACACCAAAGAAGGAAAGGGGTGATCCTGAGTCTTCCATTCAGGAAAGCCCCAAAAAGCAAGGAAAGAAAGGGAAGGGAAGGGGAAGCAGGGGGACTAAGCTCGCGTCAGGTTCCAATGAACCTCAAAAGTACTTCGGTCGCTCTGACCACGTTGAGGCGTTAAGCCAGCTTGGACCGCTGCGGTCACGTATGGGCATGAGCCGGCTTAGAATTCCAAAGATGAGACAAAAATCATCGTACGTACGGCCTAGGCCACCTTCGTCCGCTGTGGACACGTACATCTCCGGGCAGGGGAGATAACGACATACACCCGTTCGACGGGTCCACGGGAGGCACTCTGCGGGCTCATCCCGGGTTGGCATGAAGCCAAACACACTCATGGATATGCGTACTGACTTGATTGCGGTGCCACACGCCGGCCTAGGGTTCCATTTCCTAAGGGTACAGGTAAGGAAACCTAAAAGAAGAGGAGGTCCATCCAGCGGAGGTCTCAAAGGTTTCAGGTGGCCAGCAACTCCAAAAGAAAACACCGAGCGAGCCGACGACAAGGTGACGACGTATGTTCAATGAGGTTCTTGGCTTAGCAGTTGCAGGTACGTCGACAGGACGTCTCCCGTCGATATCACGAGCAAGAGATAGGTGTCTTCGTTGGCACCTGCCCTATCTCTGCTCCAGGTGCCCCCTGCAATAAATCTAAACAAATCCAGAAGGATCCCTATGACTCCAAGGGTAACACACACACACCGGATCAGTCGCGGCCCATCTGACCGGGTTCGGACCGGATCAGTCGCGCCAGGTCACTGTGAAGAGACCCGATGCCTTTACGAAGCCATCGGACGGTCAGGACCACGCTCTCCTCCGGAAGCCGTATCAGCCCGACGGTGGTGGACCGTGACTGGACGGACCTGCAGACACGAAGAAGAAGTGGTGTGACGTTGGTGGATGATGTTCAGAGAAACTTGATTTTTGGAAGAACGTGCGACCCTTATCGGAATAGGAGATAGAGATAAAGTAAGGAGCAGCTGTCGGACAGTTGCAAGAACGTGCAACAACAATGTTAGGTCCTGCAAGGTCGCGGCACGAACTGCGAACTGCTGTGTTTTAGTGGTTTTCACCAACTTTGTTTTTCTCCACGAAGAGCCGAGCTGTTTGGGTTGGGTTTGGAGGAATGATTTGGTTCGTTCCAAGGAGGCCGGAGGTTGACGGCTCCACACGCCAGAAAGATCACAGAGAAGGTTACCAGCTACAAATGGATACAAATGGAATATTGATGGATATTGCCAACGCACTTCTGAGATTCTTCAGTTCAGTTGCTGTAAGTTCAGAGGAGTTTACTTTGTCAACTTTCAACAAGTACTCTCTTGTCCTCACATCCATTGTACCTAATAACGCCATCATCCTCTAGTCGCTTCAGTCGCTTTGACAGCTTTAAAGATGGCTCAAACTGGTTTCAAGACTCTTCATGAGGATCATGTGATGATGCTGAATCCATCAGATTCCCATCAGATTCATATTCATGTTCACGAAACTGGCCCAGACTGGCCGTTACAAATACACTCCGACTCACTAACATGGAAGTGGATGGCACCCCCCTGTTTGAAAAGGAAAGTGGTCTTCCTTCTCGGACCATGCCATCCACTTCCATGTTGAATCAGAGTGGCTCTTCAGCCCAGACTCAGATCCGGCTCTTGTTCACCTTTGTCGTTTGAGAACACTCCACAGATAAACCCTGGCCCCTCAGCTGTTCAGCGTGACAAAGCGCGAGGATCCTTCTGTAAAGATCAACCTGCATGAAATGCCCGGCAGCTGAGGGGCAGGGAGCCATCCAGTCGAACAGAGGTGAAGCTGTCCATCCAGCCGAACGTGTACTTCCTCTTTCGCGCTTTTTGAATGGTCGTTTAATGTCGTTTAGGAGGTGCGTTCATGTACTTCCCACAGAATGGTGTCATGAATGGTCAGGGGTTTGGTTTCTTTTCTGTACAGGGGGCGTGTGCAGGATGAGAGGCTTTCCATTGGCTCGAGGGTTCCAACCACATGCGTCTTCCTCCCGTCTCTAAAGCCCAACACGAAGCCCCGCAGTCCGGCCGCAGAAACCCGCATGTTCGGATGTTCTGTCCTCAAGTTCGACAAGATTGATAGACAAGCACCCTGAGCCAAATCACATGCTCAACATCTACAGATGCAACAACATTTAAATACATGTATCATCTAATTATATGGTCATCTAATTGTACCTCTCTAATCATGTAATGAAAGAAATTCACCGATACAGGAGATGTGATTCACCGATACAATGAGCCAGCAAGAGGGGGTGCACTACCTGCATGTCAGAAAGCAATATCCCTGGATCATCCTGGATCGACATTGGACTTACAGTGGTTTCAGAGTAGATGGCACAGACCCAAGATGTCCTTTAGATGGTCCATGTGAACCACCTCTTGGGGTCTGTGCCATCTACTCTCAATCCACTATAGTTCTATTTCCCATCCACGGAGCGAGTCGGACTGCGATCAGGTCGATGGCCAAGATGATTGGTGGTGCCACCGACTCAAGGGGCATGCCCATGCCGCAGGCACCAAATCGGCGGAAGGAAACATATGGCGGCAGAATGCGGCATTAGCATGAGTAAGGTGTGGGGATGGACCGGGATGGACATGTCATATCCTTTCCTGGGATTCTGACGGGCGGAGCCCTGAGGCGGTTGGTTGAAACATGAGAAATTGAAAGCCCAAAAGAGGTACTGGGCTCGTATCAACTTGTATCCATCTCTTTTTGGTGTTCTCTTTAGGAAAAACAGGTTCAGGTGAACAGAAGAACATTACATCAGGTACAAGTGACTTAGAAGCGCAAGTCATCTCCACCTTCATGGACTCCGCTGCGTGCCAGGGCCCTTCTCCAAAGCTGTCCATCTTCAACCTGCCTGATGTTGCGTGGCGCAAGATGTTCTGCCTTCGAATGTTCATGTCATCGCTGTCATCATGTGACTGAGGTGAGTGAATCCCTATCATGGAGAATCCAAAATCATGTGATGCGGATGGAATTCCTTTGCCATGGCTGTTCCATTTGTGGATTTTTGGGGATGCTATACGACTGCACGACGTACACCACGATGATGACACGGGAAACGTCTCTCAACACCGGCGTTTGAGGCCATGACAGAGCAAATTTGCAGAGATTTGCTCAGTCAGTTTGGAAAGCTCAGGAGCGGATTTGCAAGCGAAAGCGGCCATTTGGAGAATCAGCCATTTGAAGATGTTGTAGGATGGCGGATGAAGGTCAAGATGCCGCATGTCTCATCATTTACAAATGGTGAACTCATTCCAAATCGCAACACCAGAAGAAGGCCCTCTGATAGACACCCTTTTCAGAGTTCATTTGAAGAATGAAGAATACAGAGTTGCAGAGCATATCATTGCATTGTCTTCAGCTCAGTGGCACAGTGAGCTCCATGGATCAGACGGCCGTTCAGGCCGTTCTCATACGACCGAGTGGAGCGCACGACGCCTCGTTCGGACCGGTGCAGGATGTTGAGTCTCATTCGAGACTTGGGCACCGGGAAGATCAAAGGCTACGGAATCTTTGAGTGCCGAGCGCAGAAGACGCGGAAGAGAGCCAGGGAAAGCCGTTTTTTGTTTGCAGACACAAGCTCACGTGTTTTTTCTATGGGAAAGCGCAGTCCGTGCTTCTCAAGAACATGGTGTGGATGGGCAGTCCAGCTGTCATTTATACTTTCACATGTTTCTTGGCCCTTCCAAGTAAGTCTGCAAAAGTCACAAGCTGCTTTTGTAAAGGAACATCCTCTTCGCAGAAGCCGCGCCATATTTTTTTTTGGAGTGCTTTTCTGGGAATCTGTACTTTTAGGTGTTTCATCCCCTGGGTTTCGGGAGTTGAGGAGTCGACACACTGAATAAGGTGTGGATTGGTTGCTGCAAGACAATCCCCACCCACTGCTGTTTTGGTCAGGGTTTGGAGTACCCCCCAAACAAGATAGAACAAGTACTGACTGTTACTCAGCAAGATTAGTGAAAACGCACAACAGATCAGAAATAACATCAATCATGCCTGGAGTACATGGCATTAGCTGTCTTCTGCAGGCTTAGCCGGGCAGCCGGTCGAGCTTGATCGGGCATCGGAGAAACCCGTCACGTGATGCCCGCGTGCGTTGCTGCTTGCAGCGTCCAGGTACGACAATCCCAATGACGTGGACTTAGCGATTGTGGCGCTCAACGGTTTTGTTTGCGGTCAGAACGTCATTCGAGTACAGAAACTAGGCTGGGCTGGGCATGGAGCAGATTCGGGCTGAGGAAAGGCTCCATCTCTGTGGCAAACAAATGACCGTGCGCGTGTGTTGTATTGGCTGAGTAACACACATATACATCGCATATAAACACCAAATATACCTCAGACACGACCCATGGGACTGCCATATATATGCCGATCAGTTGGGATGGTTTGAGGGGTCAATGTAGGTATATATGGCAGTCCCATGGAGCGTTTGGGTAAGGATCCTAAGAATCCTACCAGGTGTCGGGGTCGGAAATTCCATAGCAGAAGGTCCCCCTTCCCATTTGAGGGCCCGGAGTAGACTAGTGACTAGAGTGGGGACGACATGGAGTGTCTGGGTACCAGTTGACACATGGAGTTCCGTCCCTTTGGGCGCCCGAACTCCGGTCGTCGGGGTCGTCAGGGTCCTCGGGAGACATTCACCGTGCCGGTGAAGCGTTGGCGGGTCTCTCTCCACTCTTGATCTTACCATACCCTAAGAAGAATCATTGGACCATTCTATCAAGGGTTTTGACCCTCCAAGGACAAAGACCTTGCCCTATGAATCGTGGGACCCGACCACTTCTGGAGGGTTTGGACCCTGCAGAACGCAGGGGTTTGGACCCGAACCAAACCTTCACCTTTGAGGGTCCTTGATTCTTAGGGTAATTTGGATGGTCTCTTTAAGACCTGAAGACAGTCTGACGCACCTCTATAGTCTATAGACGTTTCCAAGGCCAAACGAAACGCTAGAAGTGCCATCCGCATCCTCTTCCGCGTTCCTCACGGACCTTCCGTCCGTTCACGACCTCCCCACCGACGCGACGGCTGTTCGACTCGGCGATCTCCGTCTCCGCGAGGCCAGCAGTCCACGACCACCACCACGAAGCCGCAGCCGGTGGCGGCCACGGCCAGCCGGCGGGTGAAAGCGGGCGAAGTCCGGAAGTCCGGTGAAGTGAGTAGTGGGAGGTCTCTTTTTTGGGGGGGAATTGTTTGGGGTTGGGGGGGGGCCAGACATCCTTGAAGGAAGCAGCATGTTATTGTTCCACTTTCTAGGTATATGGAGCTTTTTGAGACCAATATACTGACGTTTTTATCCCTAGCCTGATGGGTCACAAATCAAGTGGATGGGTTGATTGACGATTCACGGTCCATGTCATGTTTGCTGTTCAAGATGTTAAACGCAAATAAATTTGTGTTCATATATGTTCTAAGTTCAGTTCTAAGATGTTCTACGTATTATGTGTATATATTTTGTTGTTGGTTCTCCATGCGGTGTGGTGCCACTGAACATGGTCTAAACACCTAGTCCTTGTCAATGAGTTTGCCGATTTATATACATCCATTTTCTGGAACGAACCGTTTTACAGCAGGCTGCTAGTGACACCTACCACGGCTTTTGGCGTCAGTCGCCGATCCACCACGAGGCTGTTCAGCTACATGAAGGAGTTCGATGCACATGATGTTAAATAAGCCTTCGCGATCCAACTACCTCCTGAGAAGGTGGTTGGGGTTAACTACTTTTTGAGAGTCTTTTTGAGGAAGTGAGGGAGCCCGGAGCCCTGTACAGATCTAAGCTAGCAGAGTTTCAAGTTCCAGGTGCCCTGACACATGTCTTTTTTGCTTTCCGCCCCAGGGGATCCAGGCAAACCACGATGTCGCTGGGAGTCCCAATGGTTCCAATTCCACGAAAACCATAGACTTAGAATCCTTGGTTCCTTGTATATAGTGGTTTGCTGGGATCCACTGGGCCCAGTTAATGCGTTCAATTTTGTTTCGCCCTTCTCTTGCTCGTGGAAGCATCATTGCTCGGTGCCACCAAAACCGACCACCGCTATGGGTGATTCTGGGTTCGTATTTGAATAGGGAGGCCCACAACCAATGGGTTTTGGATGTTGTCTAGTTCCCTTCTTCCAGAGGACCTGGGGTGTCTCCCTATTTTAATTCACATATTCCAGTCCCATAAGTCATGTTTGGGCTCTCACCGGAGCTGGACGAAGCACCACGACCGGCGTAAGTGCCACTGGACATCGGAGGCGATGCCCAACTCGATGACGCAAAAGATCGTCAAGAATCCTGTTTTGGCCATGCAAGTGAAGCAGGGCAGAGAGGTGCGGGAGGAATCGGGAGGTGTCCCGGGAGGAATCGGGAGGTCCTGCGCGTGTGAGATTGACATGGTCAATCAATATTAATGGTGTTTCGGTATTCTAGAAGTCGACATGTCTTTTGGTCTTCAATCGCTTCAATGTTCAACTTTCGTTCAATTGATATATATATATATAATATATATAAGCTATACTTGGCTGGTCATGTTCGTGCCAAAGACCAACTTCAATTCCACCGCCAGAACCAAAACACCATGATTTGGATTGCCGGTTCAGAAACATGACATCGGACTCCGTAGTCCGTACTCCTCATTGACACCGCCAGTCTCAGGAGCTGGAAGCTGTAAGAACAGAACTTTTGCTTGATGAGTTCTGGAGTGTTCTTGCTCAGTGAAGCTCAGCCAGACCGAGACGTGGCTGTGCAACACAGCCATGTGGAGCCTTATGTAAAGGGGCTCCATCCCTCCAGCAGCTTGGTACTTGGTCAACAGGTGGTCCTTAGGTTCACAAAGCAACCAATGGCGTTGGCCAGGGCGTTTTCTTTGGACCATTTTATAAAGAGCATTTGCCTCGGAGCAGGCCTTCTTGGCGAGTGGCGGGAGCGATTTCGGCCATTCGTCCCGTTCCCGAGAAAAGAAACACAACATGTATATGTCCTCCAGACCTCCAAGTTGTTGCGGCGCCTATCTCCTCATCTTAAACCGAGCTCTTCCATACCGGGACCATTCATATATGCTATACCATCATTTGCCACAGTAATGATAGGTAACGATTCCCGTCCCTTGCATGACCTGGGTTTCTGGGCCTTTGTGCGCCTCATGGCCACCACCTCACTCCAGGTGGGTTCCCGGCCGAGCACAGTGGTACAGCTCATGAACGCTGTCTACCAAGAGGTGGATGCAGTGGATGGGGCAACGTCATGACATGTTCCTCTGAGTCATGACGAACTAAGCAAGCACCATCAGCAAGGAAGACCAAGACCATCAGCATGTGCCCACCCTACCCTACCCTACCCCACTCGACCCCACCCTACCCTACTCTACCCTACTCTACCCTGCCCTACCCTACCCTACCCCCCCTACCCCCCTACCCCACCCTACCCCACCCTACCCCACCCTACCCTACTCTACCCCACCCTACCCTACCCTACCCCACCCTACCCTACCCTACTCTACCCTACTCTACCCTACCCCACCCTACCCTACCCCACCCTACCCTACCCCACCCTGCCCTACCCATAACCTCAGCGTCACAGACAATGATTGCAGGACTAATTACAGAGAATCTCTGTCATCAATTCCAGCCAACTTTTTTCTTACGTTGTGGAACCCCTCAAACAATCATTATTGTGGAACCGCAATCAAAGCCGGTCTCTAGGACCAAGGAACTTCAACCTCGTCAAGAACCCACGGCAACTTTGCTTCACCTCCACCCGTCCGCCCTTTCGCCCCGTGCTACACGCCGGCTGCGACTCTCGACGCCGCCAGGACGTCATGGATGATCAGGACTATGACGACATCACCTCGGAGGTCCATGCTGAGGCAGGTTCCCAACACCGACATATGAAGGATCCGATCAAGGATTGTCTGAAGGAAACACACCCGTGGGTTTCTTGGAAGATGTGGGGGGTCGCACGGAAGATGTATTTCTTTCTGGTTTCGGGGTGTTGAAAACTCGCCCGGAACACAATAAGTGAGTGGGCCTAAGACTTGGGGGAACTTCCATGACTAAAGACGCATCATACAACTCAGATGCAGTATGGTTTAAGTGAAGATCGGTGGACCGGTGCACCGCTCTCCATGTATAGGTGAACCAGCTGCATGAACCCAAACTCCGTTGATCAAGGCAACTTATGTGGAGCTTGGCTCCAACCCGATCCACCTGAGTGCCCATACCGTAAGGGTGTGTCCCATGACATGTAACAGTCGGTATAAGATTATCTAATTTTGAACAAGATTTCCAACCTAACCATCATCATCCACTGTTTCTGACTGGGAATGGGATCCCTAAACCATACCAAAGACCACTTTGCAAGAAGATGATTCTCCTTTTCATAGACCCAAACCGATGGATGCAACAAATCCGTGTTCCTCATTTGCACTCTCTAAGACTCTAAGCCACATCACGTCTTCGTTCTCAATGTCACGCCAGCGGTCCTTGGTGGGCACACCGAACGCCGCACCCGTCCAGGCGTCGAAGCATGGCAACGTCATGAGGGTCGTCATCCCCAAACCTGCCAAGGCCCGGAGCACCTGGAGGTTAGCCGGATTCGACCGCACGCAGCGGGCCCACCATTTGTGGGGGCCCGGGGTGCGGCTCGCCAGCCTGTATACCCGCAGGCGGCAACCATGGAGAATGGACTTTGGGTTGGACCATCTTCCCAATACCAACCCTTCCTCTACAACCCAGTGGCTTTGGGGGTCCATGTTAATCTGCAGGAGGATGTTTGGAGGTGAACACAATCGAAGAGTGGATTTGGCGCTGGAAGTAGTGATCCTGACCCCAGGAAATGTTTGTAAGCACACTATTCATCACTATTACCAGACACTCCAGGTATATCCATGTATGATGTTACTATCCCAGACACCAACTGATCCACCGTTTCCTGATCAGTTTCAGATGCCAGTCCCACCCCGTCATGCTTTCGGATCCGCCGTGCAGGACGGCACCTACGTGGATGGCGTGGGCAAAATCTTTGTCGCGTTTTCGGAGCGGGTGATGGATCCATCGGGGACGTGTTTTTTCTGGCAGTGTTAGCCGCCCTTTTCGACTGGTTTGGGCAGGATCCATTGAGGTTCTTGTGTGGCTTCCCTGTCCTGCATCATCCCCAGTACGTGCGTCGCCCAAAGAGGCTGCTGGACCCATATCTCGCGGTCTTTTCAAAACAAAAAGAACCACCGAAGACCACGGCGCTCCGGAAGACTCCGGGTCTGGGCCGTCGAGCCGCGGTCCAGCGGGTCGAGCGGGTCTCGCTGGGTTCGTGGCGACCGATCGGAAGAGGACCTGACGGCCGCGCGGAAGTTCCAGATGGACGCCAATGGCCGCAAGTTCGAGAATCGGGTGGCGCCCTGGTCGAGTTCGAGAGCGGGGTTGCGACAGCGTGGGCGGTCGGATGCGGATTCGGTTGAAGGGCTGCCATGGGTGTCCAGGGTCAAACGAGTGTTCCATGTCCAGTTTCAAAACTAAGCAGTGCTGCCGTGACCAAAATCAAGGTCAAAAGGCGACATGAAATCCATGAAGGGGTCACCCTTTGTTGTCAATCGGGAGCATCAAACGACTTTGAACTGAGGTTTGTGCTGCCTTTTATCCTGTGGAGAAGTTCAATGAAGGGAAGTTCAAGCTGTGGTCAGCATGAGGCGCACGGCTGCAGCTTTCCTTTGAAAGACTCGGAAGTCGGTTCGATTGTTATGTTTGTGGGAAATTGAAAGAACGTGAAAGAAAAGGATACGAGATTATGCGAGACAAGTCATCCTTTTTGTAAGTAGGACAGCTTTGTTATGTATGAGGTTAATCATGGGCTTGTGTTCTGATCCAGGAATGAGGGGAGCATGCGGAGCAACACTTCCACATCCAAATCAAATTCTAGCCGTAAACTGTAAACTGGTTTGCGTTGTTATTTGGTGTTTGAAGATGTATGGAGATGGAGGATGTTGCTTTGCTTTACTTGACTTTGAGGAAGACCACTCCTCAGCACACCAAAACCTGGAAACCGGTCCGGTTGAGTCCACTCCTTGTGGAGGATGATCCAATATACTGTAATAGCATCCAATAATCATCTAATAATTATCTTAGACTGGAGTAGCAAGAAGATCTGCAAGGTTACTACGCAATTTGTATATAGCAGACGTAGCAGAGTTCTTATTTTACAAGATAATGCTTGTTGTGTGACATCATGTGACATCTCAAGATTCTTGTGATTTGAAGCCCCAAGACAACTCTGGACATGTACGTTTTGTTGTGAACTCTCAATGCAGAACGGATGTTAAACGGGAACTTGCCGGATATCATGTCCACCTACCTACATCCAAGCAAGCGAGCCCGCTGCGGTTGTGATTCTTCAAGACTGTTCCTTTTACAGCCACAAATTGCACAATTGATTGACCTGAATTGTAGAGGTCATCAAAGTCATAACTCATAACCAGATTTAGGTCCAAACGACCTCTCATTTTGCCATCAGCCAGTGCTGATGGTGAATATTAAAATCTCATTGGGACCGTTTTGGAATGAATTCTCTATGTACCGAATCTACCCTGTCAACTTGTCTTTGCCGCAGGTGTCTCGGCGGCCCGTATCATAGAAGGGCTGTCTCGGCCGCCCGTCTGATTGCCACGGTGGCGGTTTCCCCTAAAAGCGTGGCCATGATTCGACCAGCCAGTGCATTCGAATCCCAAGGGGTCACCTGGCTCAAAAGCCCCCCCCACACACTACTGATGAATCGGCGGACAGGTCCGCTAGGAAGATCCAGGATCGACCATTCGACCGGTAAAGAGCCAGCCATTGTCAAGCACTGTAGCGATGCCGCGATGCCCTTGTTACTACCTTCACAGCTTGGATCGACTTTCAACTTCAAGGACTTGTAGACTTCGTGAACCGCAACATCCCAACATCCGTTTGAGAGTTCAAGAAGGCTTTGGGGTTAAAACATAGCTTTTCCCAGGTTGTCACTTAAGAGATGATCACTTGACTTGTCCGTCAGCATGGGCGAGTATCCTTTTTTCTGCGCACCTAGATTCTTGAAAAAATTACCCCCCTGCCCCTACCAGAATGTTTTTTCTTTCATCTCCATATGGAGGGTTTTATTAATCAACAGTCTATATTATACATGTTTTCTTCATTTCCCTGAGTCCAAGATAAATTTCCTCTCAGCCTGCGCCGCGCAACACGGGAGATCGACCAAACCTGGCAGCAGCTTTGTCTCACTCATCATCCCATTGGACCAACGACCAGGAACCGGTCTGAGGCGAGATGCCAGCATGCTTCACTCGAAAAGGTGCCCAAGTTGTCTAAATCTTAACAAATAGAAAGGGTAACTGAGTGCACTTGAAGATACAATAGATCAATGATCTTAATATATCTTAATATGTTCATGCCTTAATCGTGAGTTGTCAGAGAGGATCTTGACTGCATTCAACAGGATTCAGCACTGAAATGTTCCCTTGGCACAAAACAAGAGAAACCCTACTGAATTGAACAATATCAGTTTCTTGGCAACACAGCTCAAGATGACTCCTGCGGCGCTGCAGCAAAAGCTCCTAATAGCGTCCTTGTTACCAGTAGTAAGGCCAGGAGCCCCCACTAGCGTCCTTGCTCCTAGTAGCGATGCCCTTTGCTCCTAGTAGCTTCTTGTTCCTACTACTTATGTTTAAACATGCAAAATATGACGCTAGAGGGTCAACCGTTGTGGAGTGGCTTTACTGGCAACCGTTCGCCTCAGAGAAGAAAGCGCCGTAGCCGAAGAGACGCAGTCAGAGCGAGTGCGAGAGCAGAGGAAAGAGTCAGCCCGCGCTGAAGGGCCAGAGCTGTGTAAGTTGCCCCTTACTGTGGAGTCAAGCTTGGGCATTGATTGAAAGAGGAAGGTCGATGGTGACGATGCTTCATAACTCCCTTTTCCGGATGATCAGAGGGAAGCAAAGGACATGTTCACCCTTGTTTCATGATTAATTCAGTGATTCTACTTTATAGCGTGACTGTTGTTCTCAATATGATATGTGTGTTTTCCGTATGGGCAGTAGGGGTCTTTGCTCCATTTATGCCTTGCTTTTCCTTTGAACCTGCCACAAAGTTCTGGCTCTGGAAGCAGCAAGAGAACCACACACGCATTCCAGGCAAGAAAGAATAGTTCAAAGACGGTGTGACCCATGTTACTTGAAACACCTCAGCGACTCAGCACTCTTCCACAACTTGACAACACAGGTTTTGCATGAAGAGGTACTCCTGAAACCCAAGATGCTCATGGTTGCGACAACACTCCTGCTGAGCTTCTCAAACTTAAAGTAGTTTTTGAGGGTTTGGGCAGCCCATCCAACTGCAAGAACTAGATGGTAGGAAGGAAAGCAGAAACAGAAAAGGAGCAATTTGCTTTTGGTTATCTAACTTCCATAGAGGCAAGGCCAGATGTGCTGTGGGAAGCATGATATCTGAACAAAACTAGCCATATGTTGTGAACGATACGCTTGGAGGAATGATCGCACACGGCATTCTGAGATATGGCTTTGTGTGACTTGGCAGGACTCGTAAGGGACTAACCCTCTCTGATGGGACTTGGACCGTCATCCACTGAACATGATATTACATTCCACCTTCTCAGAGGGTGGCTGTGTGCACCTCTACGGGGGTGTAGTAATGGGCATCTCAAAAAGGCGAGAACTTTGCACTCCAAGCCCTTGGTTCAGAATTCCGAAAGTGGATGCAATCCCAATCGCTGCAGCTTCCCCCGCGTTACTCCTGAGCCTCAAGTTCAGAAATCCTCTGCTCGAAGTCCTCAACAGACTCAACAGAAGTCTCTTTCCTTTCAGCATCCCCACTTGTGTTCCAAGTGCGGCACTCAACTACTTGGTGGTTCCAGAGTTTCAAGTTGCTTTCCTCTTGCAGGTTACAGGTGTTAAACTGTGCATACAATTAATTATACATATACAAATCCTGAGCTCCCCTTCCCTTAGTGTTGACATAGTGACACCCCCCTTGTATGGCTCCAACATAGGGTGCCGTCCAGACCCCCATAGCCCTAGCCTAGTTGAAACAAAAAACATGCTTTCTCACACCACTGTGCTTTCCATCAACCATCAACCATCCAACCTGCATCGAAGAGGCTGTGACTTCGAACGGGCTCTCTCCCTCTTCCGGCGGTCTCGACGCAGGTTCACCGCCGTGGGTACGGTGGTGGCGGACGCCGACGCCGCCTTCCCCTTCCTGGACGACGGCTACTGTCGCTCGGAAGAATGGAGAGGACTAGGTGGCTCGCTGCTCGGGACGGTTGTTGGAGACGTGGCTCGGTGCTCGGTCTTGGAAGCGGGAAGTGTTGGAAAAGCACTGAGTAGAAAACACATCACAATCGCAAACGATCACTAATCCCTATAAATGACGTAGTGAGTCTAGTGGGAGTCTTATCACTTAGGGTTTCGAAGTGTCCAGATCGAAACCTCAACAAAGGTAGGTCTTGGAAGTACCTGATCAAATTAGAATAAACCTGTGCTTTTTGTAATCTTGAGATACAATAAAGTTCGCAATGTTTTGGGCTGAGGAGTGCGTACTCCTTGGTCATTTGTTCATACAGTTGTTCTACAGGAAAACTTGTACTTTCCACGTGAGTCTCCGACCAAATCTGTGACGAAATCTCCACATACCTCACAGGGTGGACGTGGGATAGGACAATTGAATGTGCATCATCGGGAGTTGACCCATCTACCACTACTGCCCAAAACGATCACCGATGAGAGCCAACCCGCTCGTACCAGAGGTTCGAGAGTGCACTCACGGCTGATCTTTAAACCGTATACATCCACATACCAAAGCTGCGAAGGTGACTGAATACTATTTATGGCGCCTGGCTCGGGCCGATCCAAAAGAGCCGTTGCTGCCCGGTCTCAGGTGCCTCGAGCCATGCGGAAGCCTTTGACGGTTCGATCGACATTGCTTCCATGGACTGCGCCGAGATCATGGAGTTTGTGTACATCTCCAGGCGGTGAAGACACGGCAAAAAGCAGCTTTTTGACATGTGTTGGACATGTGTTAGACGACCGGTTTCCTGGTTTTCATGGCGTTATCGGTCCGGTGTCAAAGCGGGATAGGTTTCATTGGATATTCCCAGCTTGTCGCGATGAGCAGCCATCTCTCTCTCTCTCTCTCTCTTTTTTGCCTTATTTGTGTTTTTTTGCTGGGCGCCAAGCAGGCATGGAAGCACAGACAAATGTTCTTAAAAGCTGTGGTAATTACGGAAGAAGCCTAGGGCCTAAGTGTTTTATTTGCTTGTGGGCTGTGAGTCAACATAATTGAGTCAAAAACACAGTCGAAGTCGAAGATATGAAGAATAGGCTCTGTGACTTTGACAAAGCAGTGAGAGTGACATGGTCGAAGTACGGTCCCTGAAGCAATGGGTCGCTTGTTTATGGTGTGTTTTTGAGGGTTCCTCATTCGACACGAATCGCTAAGAATCTTGACACCACAGGATGCTCAGGCTTCTTGCTCAAAACCAATAGTGTTATTCCCCTTCCTACCTCACGTGGAGGTGGAAGCTTTGGCAGCAGTTGGACCAAGAGTTGGCGGAGGTGAACCAAAGTTCGGTCGCTGCATCCTCTCTGAAGATCTTGCGTCGTAGTTCAAAAGCTTCCTCTTTGGCCTCTGCACATGTGTGCCTCGGCCTAGAGGTTGTGGTGGGAAAGCACTGCGCGAGCCGGGGCTTTGGGAGGGGCCCACAGCGGAAGCCTTCAATGGTGCCTGTTGATTTTATCCACATGGTCGATGGAGTCGTAGTCCTCTTAGCAAGTGCATCAGTCTCATAAGTGCATTAGTCATCATCATTCAATATACTCTCCCTGAAATCATGGAAGTGGATATGGTATTGACAGGATGCCCATATATGTTTCCGAATACCAAACAAATTGGTGCCCACTTCCACTATTTCAGGGAGTGCCGTTTTTTTGTGAGCTGAAAGTTGACCTTTGCCGCTAGAAACATGTGACTAGAGAACTGCAGATAAACAGAGTTGTCGATGCAACGGCGTCCCTGGGAGGATTCACCAAACATACGAAGAAGAAACCACCGCCGCCGCCACCACCACCACCACCACCACCACCGACAACCACCACAACCACCACAACCACCACAACCACCACGACGACAACAACGACAGCGACTTCAAACGAGCAAGGTCCTTGGGCTCGTGCTCGACATAAAGCAAAGAAATCCTTGACCAAGATCCGACTCCGGAGCCAAGTAGAAGGTCCTTGCTACGGAAAAGCCTACGGAGTTCGTGGGTACCCTTGCGGTTCGGGTTCTCCTGGCTTCCCGAAGGTGCAGGTTTATCACTTATTTAACCGATGGATCCACCCACATCAGAAGTGATTGGAGCCAAACTCACCACAGAGGGTGGCAGTGGCTTTGTACCCAAAGACCACCATAGACCTCTTTTGAAACGTTCACCATGGGTTCACACGGCCCTTCCGTTCAGGGAAAGGATACACTGGACCCAGAGGGTCTTCTCGGACAGGCCGGCGATCTGGTATGATCTGGTCCTGCCACCCTGCCCTGACGAGGCACATTATCACGGCGGTGGCCTCGCAGCGGTCCGAGTGCTTCTCCGAGCATGTGCGACTGCTGCTGACGGTGAGCCTGCGACGGATGAAGACCCTGTGCACGCAGCAAGTGAAACAGCTGTGGTTCGCCAGCCAGGACAGTCTGCAAACGGAAGGGACCTGGTCGATCGCTATACTCTGACAAGAACGGTGAATTCTCCGGAGTTTCTGCACAGGAGGAATGAGCAACATCGTTGATCTTGGCATGTGCAATCCAGTTGAAGTTGACCAAATGGTAGAACCCGCAACCTTCCCAATCTCTTCAATCCATTCAATCCATCTTCACCATCTCTTCGACCTTCACCACCTCTTCGACCTGTTTCGGCCTCTACAAGGATGGCTTTACACATGAGTCCGACCATCAGATGCGACTGAAGAGTTGGCTCTCGGAGGTGCGCGCGCAAGAGTGAGAACGCAGAGAGGGCCGGGGGAGATACAGGTGGTTTAAGCATGTTCAAAACCACATAATTAACATAACTGCATGTTGTTGATATTTTTTGTATCAAACCATATTGATGGCCATGGCCTACACTTCCTGTTCTCTCGCAGTCTTTTTCTTCAGATATCTACCTGTTGCCATTGGGGGTTGTGCCCTCGTTCGGATCGTTTTTTTATCGATGCAGGTTTTCGAAGTGCAACAGAATCGCACGTGCCAGGGCCACTCGGCTTTGGTCTTCGGACCCAGACGCCTGGACCCATCGGCACTCCCCAAGAAGGCTACCCCTGAAGAGGCAGGAGCAACGAGCCATTCCCATTCGAGTGCCCAACGCTCCGAATTAAATGAGGCTTATGGTTCCTCCCAATTTCTGAAGATCCCATATATGCAGTTGGAGGATCTTGGAGGGTCTTCACTCCTCCCCGTCCGACACGTTGGAGGCCACGGGGCTCTTGGAGGCCGATCTCCGGACCTTGAAGACGGTGCTGCAGCCGCTCGGCCGAGCTGCGCGAACGCCGAGAGCGGGCGCGAGAGCATGCGGGGAGAGCATGCGAATCGAATTGGGAATTGAGACCAGGTCTTGGAAGATCCATGGGGAATGTTCCCAGGGTTTGGGGAGTTGTTTTGAGTATAAATTGTGGATATAAAGATGTGTAAAGCATATATACAGTAGCATGGTTGATATGTTACCACTATATGGATGTCAGGACCTAAGAACTCCAGACTTTTAATGTTATTTGACTTGATCCGACTTCCACTAGAAAACCTTGGGTCGCTTCTGTTCTTGAGATGGATCCTGACTTACTTCAACTGATCTGTCTATTGCCAAGGGCCTTTGAGGACCTTCCTGTCATCACCTGTGCGAATGGATCCATCATGATCCATCCGATTTACATTCCATGGAATATCATGGACGGCATGGCCCCGATTTCGGATGATCATTTTCAATACCGTACTGGTGATGTCCAACTCATTCCAACTCCATGATTGTTTCAAACAGTGTACCCGAGTTTACCAAACAAATCAACTTTACGTAGGGTTCCAGCTACTTGTGCCTGCTGAGAAGGTAGGACCACCCCAGTTCCCTGCTTCTCAGAAACACTTGGAGCGTTGGAGCCGGTCAACTGTATGATATACAGCTCACTGACAGGATGAATCCCTCAGAAACCAACCGATTTCAGGGGAGGTGCAAGAGGCAGGAGGTGGCAATGGATGAAACGCAAGGTGCAAGAGAGGTCCTCAGGTCCTTTGGAGGGTACCAATTAAATCTCAGCCGGTCAGTCTTTACCTGTCCCTGCCTGGCAGTGCCTATCATCGGATCACAGCTTGGGAGCCAGCATAGAGTTGATCCGAATTCGAGTTCGGAGCCAGAGAAGTCATGAAACATGGACGGCAGGGGACAGAAGTCTGTCTACCTTTCTGAACTGGGCATGGCGCATGCCTGGCGACTGGGATGGTCTCCATTCGCCAGTCCTGCAGGTGAGTGCTAGATGTTGTACAGGCAATCAGTCAGGCCATCCATGGGACTAGCCCTGTTCTCATGATTCAAACATGCAGCTGTTCCGATATACTTGATGGATTTAGAAGCTGTTGGATTCATACGCCGATTTGATAGACGCCCCATGAATCCCCCGAAGAATAGAACAATCTTTTATAGCCCATGTGGACTTTGCATTGATCAGTTTTTCCAGGTTGGTGGTCCAAAATATGGATCATGTAACATGATGTAACATGTATAATAGGCAGTTAAAAGTACATTCTCCACATAGACCTGTCACATGTATACTTATAGGCGCTTAAAGTACATTCTGCACATAGACGTGGACAAAGTACATGGCAGTCCAAAGGCTCCCCCGATCGGAGGGACCTCTCAGGACCTGGACGGCGCCCAGCTTGGCGGAGAGCCGCTTCTACTCCCATGAGGCCGATGGAAGACGCTTGGGTCTTCGACCTCGACCGTGGGGGTCGGTCTGGAGGTCGAACTGCGGAAAGACACCAATCCGGGTGAAGAGGAACATGGAGGAACCTCAGGGTGTACCATTCTGAGAACTGGCATCATAGAGTGTTTTAGTTCGCGCCTGGTGCTTGGGTTTCATGCCGTGGACGGCCGCTGTCATGAAGTAGGCTGACGGCCGACTCAGGATATAGCACCATGGAAGCCTTGCGCCGTGACACCTTTGAGGAGCAGCGACACCGTCCAGTGATGGAGGAAGTGTTTTTTCCGGAAGTGAAGATACTATATAATGTGCAGAGATAATTGAGCCAGGAGTTCTGACAGTCCCTTTTTTTTGGAGTTTCCAAGTTTCTTAGAACATCCATGCACTTCTTGGGTCCAAAAAAAGTCTCAGAACCACCCCAGAGCTCTCCGTCTCCTTCTGCTGAACAAGATTATTGGCATGGAGTGGCTCCACAAAGGCATCGAAAAAGAAAACAAACAACTACCACCCGGCCCTGGAAATGCCAGTTTGAGGAGTATCAGCTCGACAAAGGTTTGCTGCAGGGAATGCTACGGATGCTCCCCTTGGATGCCGTGGTGGCAGACTTTGGAGCTGGCTCCGGTCAATATTCCAAGTGGCTTAATGACACAGGCCCGTGGTGTTGCGGATTTGGTGCCGCAGCGTTGGTCGGCGTTGGTCGGCGGCATTGTCTTGGGGCCAGAGAGGTTCTTGGGTCCAGTAGTTGGGAAAGAAGACAAACCAACGTAGGATGAAATGCAACTCCTGATCGTCCTAGTAAGAGCGATGGCCTCCAACCTATGAGCGATGGCCAGCCTCCAACCCAAGAGCGATGGCCTCCAACCTAAAATTGCTCAAGACCAGTTTCCAGTGGATGTATTTACGGCAGAGGATCAGAAGAGTCTGGGTCCAATGAAGTCCCAAAAAAGGCTAACTACTCCAGCCTTTGGCAGAGGTTGATCGGAAGAACTGTGATTCCATTTCATGGCCCTTGTGACACATGTAGTGACAGATGCAAGAGCATGTGATTGTGAAGTCATAAGCTGAAGCTTGCAACATCCTTTCTCGAACCCAGTTGCTTGGTTAAATTGAAGTTTTTCCTTTGGCTCAACTGTTGATGACTGTGCTTTGCAAGTTGCATCAAGTAACATCAAGCTACTTATTTGATGTTATTTGACTTCTGGACGACCATTACGTAAGCCGAATAAGCCGACGCATTTGCATGTACATATACAACTGTTTTGGATGTGGCTGTTGGGTGATCCTCAAGTAGATAGATATAAACTACAGAGTTTTCCACAATCGGTCCCGGATGCTCTGTCAGCTGCTTCAATCCATTTCAACCCCCAACAATTAAACATATAGTTCCTATCAGTATCAGCATGTAATAAGCCTAAGCTCTGGAAAATTCGCATGCCCGAAAACCATGAAGCTGGTAGAGGAAAATCGTCTTCCAGTCTGGTCCATGCCCTTCGGGTTCCATGTGGGTCAGCCGTTTGACCTGTCCGACTCGTCTCTCCCTCGAGGTCTCGTGACGGCGCTGGCCTTCGACGGCTCTCCGGACATCCATTTGGTGACGAAGGGCGCGGTGGCGCTGGCCGATCTGGGCCACCCGGATGGTGATCGAACGGACACGCGAGGTCGGTGGAGCGAAGAGAAGGGGTTCGTCCAAGATTTGGTCACGAAGTCGCGTGTTTGTACGTTCTATGAGGAAACCCACAAACATGGTCGGTGGGTATTTGATGGTATTTGTGTGTATAGTATATATATATATAGTGTGTGACTTATGTTGGGGTTGCTTTCAGAGGTGAATGTAGGCATGTGGCATACATGGAGTGAGACAAACCCATGCATTTGATGTGTTCCGTTTTCCAAGTCTTTTGCCCTGCAAGTCTAAGGACAGCCTTTGAGCTTGTGGAGAAGGCCGAATGCGGGGGGAGTTACCTTCCAGAGAACATGGTGCACTTTTTTGAGTCTGATGTGCCCCTGATATCCCCCAGTGTTGAGAATGTCACGTCATTATACATATGATACGCATGGCTGTTGTTGTTACTTTGGAAGCTCTCCAACCCTTGTCGTTTGGGTTCCCACAACATAGCTGATGCTCCTGGAACCTTTGGAAGGCAACTGGGAATGGAAGTATAGGCTTTACACATTCAAGCCTATTGTTTGTTGATGTGTGAGAAGAGGTTGACGGCTGGCTGTTACTTTCAATTGTCGGTCACAGCTGATAGTCTAAAGCCACTTCGTTGGCTTGCCATGATTGCTACATTTGTTGAAATTTCTGCATTTCACAGGGCTGCTTATTTTGCACATTGGTCGTCCTTATTCAGCCAGAAGTCCGACCATACCAGTATGTATGTAATGTAATGTAATCTAATGTAATTATAATATTAGGTAATATAATGGTATGGTATGGTACGGTATGGTATGGTATGTCTGCATGTATGTATGAATCCATTGCATAGGGGCACAGTTCCCAAAAGTGTTAGGGTCTTGAAGCTGATACATTCAATTCAACAATATTCCAAAAGATATATCCATCCATAACATAAATATATGACATATATACACATGCATGTGTAAGTTGTTGTTATATAAGTTATGTTCCTTTTTTGGGTGGCGGACACATATTTTTTAAGTGGAGAGTTGGCAGCTGGATCAACCCCCCTCCGTCTCCGGCTCTTGCCAGGTTCGACTGGTCCTTGTGTATCGAGGTGGCGGAACATTTGCCTACGAAGCTCACCCCGACCTTTCTGGCCAATTTAGATAAGCTGCTCGGGCAGGAAATGCCGGGGAGGGTGGTGCTTGATGGATTGATGGTGAAGTAGAGTTGATTTGTGGATGGAGAGCCTCTTACTCATCCCCATCCCATCCTCATCTCATTTTTCATCCACTGTCTCTTGGTAATAGAGTTACCAGGAGCACCATTACCTACGAGCTTGCACTAGACAGTGCCTACGTAGGGTTCCCCAGTCACCAACTGGGCCACCTATGATATGGGGAATAAGCCAACTGCTCCCCACTGGCTTCACGTCTGGGGGCCAAACCAATGTCCAAACCAATTGCATGGGATTGATTAGCGGGGTGAATCAACAAGTGTGCATAGGAATTGTAGAAACGGCTACTTGGGGGTCATGAATCAGGCTTTACCAAGGTCATGAATCTTTCCCACTCATACAGGCCTCTCCCACTTCATCGCAAAAGTTGTGTAGACTGGAAACCATTCTCACCAGCACGAAGCTTCAACCAATTTGATCCAATGTCTCACCATCGACGCCATTTCCGCCATCACTCGGGTGTCTTTCCGGCTCCAGCGCCGCTGTGACACCGTCTCAAAGCAACAGATAGAACCCAAACACGACCGATGGGGACTGCCATAGGACTGCCGAGAAACGGCCAGGGGTGGTTGACCTGGGGTCAATTGATCGGCATATATGGCAGTCTCATGGAGTGTTTGGGAGATATCTAACCCTATGGATCTAAGATGATCTACGTACCGTACCTCAGGTTCGGTGCGACTGGACCCTCCAAACCTACATCACCGTGTCTCCACTGGATTTTTTGGGTGAAAATGATGACGGTCTTGTGGCAGCCCTGGAGCCGACTACCATGAACAACTACAAATCCAATAACTCGTGCCTGGACCTTCTCCAAGGGGTGTCCTACTAGAGATCCACGCAGCTCTCCGGTCAAGTACTGCCAAGGCACACGGAGCAGGGCTTGATCATCACCTGGGCACGTCCGGGTTTGCAGGGCCTGGGCACTGCCAATCCGTGCGGGCACCTGTGGTGGGTAGAACCGGTGACGGAGAGCTGGTGACCTGGGGGGGTTCACCCTGGGGATCCAACAAGCTCCTGAGGTAGGCAGGTGCTTCAAGAGAAGGTGCTCGGTGTGGGTGCCAGGGTCGGTATATAGTTGGGGACGTGGGGACGTCGGGTAAGTCAATGAGTCAAGTTGAGCGCCAGTATGGATCGCCAGTATTGCTTCCATATTTTTGTAGTGCAATTCATTGGCAATCATGTGGAATCTGACGTGGGGAGGATATGAGGAGATGTGTAAAGTGTGGAAGATTGTGGGACATCCTTTTTGTGCTGCTAGTTTTGGCCAAACAATGTCATGGTTGCTACACTGTTGCTACCAACCTGTGAGCCAGTTCTGTTGTTTTGCGTGCAACTAGTGGGAAGGCTACGGAAATGATCCACACGCCTTTGTATGAAAATCATTAAAAGAACACATGACAAACACCTGCAGCAAGCTGTTTGTTTGTCCTGAATTGTTGGATCCGCTCCACGAAGTCCGATCCACCGAGAACGGCGCTGTTTCGAAACCGCGACCAGGTTGACTCAGGATCAAGCTTTGGAGCTCATCCGAGAGCATACAGGGCTCAGCCACCTGGACCAGGACCTCCGGTGCGGGCGCAGTCGCCAACACGACGCCGCAAGCGCCGCACCACCGCGCCGGAACGGGGAACGGTGCGAAAGGTCGAAGTGGCCAGGTCGAGTCAGAGAGACGCCGAACTCAGGATCCGAATTGTAACTGCTGCGCTGCTCAGAACGGAAAGACTTTTTTGGGAATCAATGGTGCGCTGTCTCCGAAAACACTGGTTTACAGCGACAGTCGCTGTGGAATTCTGGCGGAAGTAAATCGAAGAAGCGGCAAGGCTTGGACTTTTGGACTTTTGGAGAGCTGGGCGGTTCTCGTTGGGTTCAAGATGTGGATTTAGACAGATTTACAGATGGGTTGTTTTCTCAAGGGGTCCTTGCTTTGGCTTGATAGGGGTCAGACAAGCCCCATATGTACTATTAGCGTTAGGGCAGTTTGGTGTTTAGTTGTTGGTTCAGCAGTTTTGCTATCAAGGCATGGATGTCCTGTTTGAGAGGCCCATTTTTCACAATGTAAGAACAATTGAGTTGGTGAAACAAGCATCGTTTGAGATGTGAGGCCTGGACAATTCATGTGAACCTCTTGGTTTTTGATCAAACATCTATCCTGTAGTGCAATTGAGCAAACCCACACATCCAAATCCCCATTTATTTGCCGCTGTATGTTCACCCCCTAACTCCGGGGCCAGTTATGCCTCCCAAAAAGGAGCTGACCGCTGCTCTTCGCGCTTCAGCTTCCATACCGCACATCGCCGACACGTGGCTTGGCCAAGCACAATGGTTTGGAATATGTTTCACACATCCTTGAAACATGGAGGGAATCTATATGGGTGTGTAGTTTAAATAGGGAGTACCCAACAAATGTGTTTTGGTCTATTTTTGTTCTTTCAGGAGGTCTTTGGGAGGTCTCCCTATTTGAATACACACCCATATCAATGGTATATATATATACATCACCCTAGCTTTGCGACAAGCTCGAGAGAAAGTGTTTGGAGTGCTTTCGAGGAGGGTGCGACTACGTACCTTTGGAGGAGGTCGTTTAGTGGGAGCCCCTTCAGGTGAGTGGTCAAAATCCCTTATTCATGACCCTTCCATGTAGGTAATAACTCTTCCAGTTGTGATCTCTTACATACGGGGCACAGTGTATCACGGCGGCGAGCTGCGTATCACTTGGGGATTGCGATGAAAGACCCTGCAGTGGGTTGACCCACCCAGGAGATCTGACCTACCCACAGGACTCGAAGTTTTGACCTATCCTCCTATTAGATGGTTACACATCACATGTTCACCCGAGTGGAGGAGCGTCATTTTAATTAGACTAGCTTTAGGCCAAGTCCTATTGTTCAAATGGGGGGAACCATTTGGAGGGGACACTCCCGCGCACTCACATGGAAGTGGATCACCTTTTGTACGCAAATACAGGACAGTATATACCGTAGCGGTAGTCCTCCAAAGGGACCATTTTCATCCACTTCCAGTGAGTCAGGGTGTAGACTCGTAGACAAATATCTCTTATGTATATTAATTATAATCCATATATCACCAGGGGTTTTGGTGTGTCGTTACTCCGGTCGGCTGGAGGCTCCTGGTCATGGTGGCGAGCCCAGAGTTTCACCACTCATGCCAGAGAGAGACAGAGAGAAAGGGTGTCCTATATTTACCTGAGATGATGAAATCGACCAGTGGCCATTCGTGGGGCTGATTTGTGACCCTGCAAGAGCTCCATTTTACTGTGATCTTTCATGAATCATTCTGCCACATGAATCATTCGTCCAAGACTGCAAGGATGACCAAGGATGACTGCAAGGATGTTGTCCCATGTCAAGGGGTTTTGTTCTGAAAGCATTGAAAGCACTGTGAGGATGTTGTCCCATGTCAAGGGTGCTAAGAACCCTAGGTCGCGAGTGAGTCGTACAGCCAGTGCTTGCCTGGAGGTTTTGTTCTGAAAGCACCTGCACATTCTCTCGTCATCTCACTGCATCTGAGCGCTCCTGTCGATCACGACCCTTCAAGTCTGGCTGTCACTTTTTTGATACCTTCCTGTTGCCAGGGGTATATATATAGTAAGAGGGTTACCAACATGTCGAAAGCATGTCGAAGTCCTTAATAAGGCTTTTTCGTCCAAGGCCGCCAACAAACATTGCTACAAGACCACTAAGTGGGAGCAAGTTATACCCAGACACGACTACTGGGACTGCCATAGGACTGCTGATCAATTGGGGTGGTGGGTGCCAGGGGGGTCTGTGGGGGTCCGACGACCCGGGACCGCTGATGCCGAGGTGCGACCCGGTTCCGCCGGGGCGGCGAAGGGGCACCCGGTGGATGGGGGGACGGTGGACCCGGATGGGCGGAAGGTGCCAGTTGAAACACAGAAGCTGCGAGTCTTGATACATTTCGGACATAGAAACTTCATGATATTCCTATACAGGGGTACGTTTGTTTCAGGCTGATTGGGGAATGAAAGAAAAAATTGACAAAGGCATTTGACAAAGGACGCAGCCTTAATGTTTGAGGTGTTTCAGGGAAGTCTGTCATTCTAAGCCCACCAGGCCCACCAGTCTTAGTTCAGTTCAGTTTGTCAAGCCCACCAATGGCAGTACTGTACTGGTGTTCCGATGTGCTGGACTGGACATCCGCCTTCACAGGCGACTGCCCCGGGGGGTTTTTGGATGGACGTCGGATCGGTCGTTTTTGAGGCCAACGTCCGATGCAGCTCCTGCGTGTAATGCTGAGCATGGCCAGAAACTTATGCACGTCCACGGGGGGGGCCGGAACCAGGGTTGATGATGTATCAGTTCTGAGACTTGGGATATTTCAGGATGTGGTCCTTTTTCATGGGGGAAAAAGACCACATCCGTTCAGTCGTGGGTGCTTGAAACTGTTGGAAGTGGAATCAAATGAACCCAGAAGTTCTATTTGTCATGCCTAAAGTTGACCAAAGGACTGCAGAGCCCAGCGGTTGCGAATCCCACTCCAATGCCACCAAGGAACATGGACCCTAAGGCTATGTCGTGGATACTTCCTTACCCCACTGGTAGGATGTAGGTGCTTATGATCGCTAGGACTCCAACCACATCCTCGGAAGGTATAGGAACAGACCATGTTAGACCCTAACCACCTTCAAAACGGAGCTAGTTGTAGTTGGTGGGCAAGCGGCAAGGAACACATCAAACACCTGCCACAGCATGACACCATGGAATGAAAGCGCATCTGGGTGAAGAAAGTGCCTTTGGATGCCTTTGGTGTGCAGAGCATCCAACCTAGGAATCCATCCTCGTAACACATCCTTTACACAATCATCAGAGAGACCGGGGGAATATGGATCAGCACAGGAACTTCCTGGAAACCCAAGACTCAACAACCAGAAGCAGTTCTGGATGCTTCCCCAGTCCCAGCCAGTTCCTACTCAGGACCATCCTGTCTGGGTGTCCAATACCCTGCACTGCTGAGGGATCTCCATTGGACACACATTTGGATGGTCCAGGTATGTAAAGGATCGCAATTAGCTCAATTGCATTCAATTGCCATATTTGGAACAACATGGGAACATTTGTTTCTGGTTGCGTGGGTTTCCAGGCTCAAGCAGCTCCAGGTTGGGTGGTGTTTCAGACTCTTCCAGTCAATATGACAGAGGGCCGTGAAAGGATGACCATGAGTCTTCCGAAGACCAAACAGGTGGTGAAATCATCGCTTCCGCGATGATTTCAGGGAGTGTTGATTGATGTTTTCTTGTGTTTTCTTTCTTTCTTTCCATCAGGCCCTGTGCGACTGAAGGCTGGATCTATGCGGGGAACGATGTACAGATGTTTACGGCTGTGAAGTCCGCATCTGCCTGCTGCGAGCTTTGCAACAGTTGCTGGGCAGAATTTGAGCGATCAGTCTAGTGTATCAATGAAGAGGACCCAGCTCTGTGTGCGGAATAGGGAAGTACTTTGCAAGATGTGGGGGAGACACACTGGCTATAGGGAGTTCACGTGTCTTTTGCTTTTATAGGCCATAGGATGCATAGCATGCATTCAGAGCAATTTGCTCAGCACTTTCGCACTTTCGGAAAGTTCCTCTCACATTCAACCAGTTCTCCGTCGTTCTTCTCTCCAACTCGAGCCGCCTCAGCCCTGCGATACCGTTTCTTGTGCATCAAGACCTCCCATTCGGAGCTCCAACCCACCAGCGCACGGAAGACCAAACCATGTTGGTAGGCTTAGCCTCTATCCAAGCAAGTTTGCATCAAATGGTTGGTTCTCTTAGCAAGTTCAGCGAACTGGGCAGGTGTTTTGTTCTGGTTTTGCCACCTTGTTCTTCAGAGGGTAAAGAACACTTCGAGACTTAAGACAGCTCGATCAGCTGCGAACGGTGTTCGCTTGGTCCCCTCCCTGGCGTCGCGTGTCACGAGGCAATGAGAACTGCCGCTTTTGGACTTGGTCCCGGGAAGAGAGCCACAAGGCCCACCTGCGCGTAGAGTGGTCGATGCTGAAAGTCTGTGCGAGAGACAACTTGGTGAAGGCGATGAAGAGGCATGTTTTACGTGAAATAATTGGTCGTTGGCCTCCCAAGCCAGTCTATGCCATGGCCTTTAGCATGTGGAGTCATACTATATCCTAACGATCTTTCTCCATCATAAGACCCAAAAGAGTAGTTTCAAGATCGGGGATCAGCATCAGTCATTAGTTTGTCTCAATCTGAAAGCACCAATCGTCAGTTCATGATTCATCCTAACAGAGGTTTAATCATGGAGAGTGCCTTTGACTTGTGGTCACCTCATCTTTGTGCCATTCTTAAGCAGGAAAATGAGGTTTTCATTTGATTACTTCGATATTTGGAGTAATTATAAGGGATCTCATTCGGGACCTCATTTGGACCTCTCCTCCTGAGATCAAAGTTAGCCGGCTGCTTGATGTTTGAGCAGCCAATTGAATCAGATCAGGGAAGGTAGATAACCTGACCTCTCGGAATGTCCTGCAGGATCAGGTTACAGTCTACATCATGTCCTACATGGTTTCCCTCTAGAAATCCCAGTTTATACTGCATAGAACCAGCCCTGTCCCCTGTTCAAGTCAAGAAATCGTGCATTTATGTGAGTCTTCCACGTCTTTGTTCCACGGAGTTCAGCGGGTTCGTCTTCGCTGTCCAAGGAGTTCTGTTGGATCAAGGTGCCCACACCGCGTTACTACCGCGCGACGCAAGCGCGATGGGCGAGCTCGCTCGTGCTCGGTCGCCCAAGCGGTCTAGCATCCGAGAGGTCTAGCAGTGGTCCAGCAGTGGTCAAGAGATTGCAACGGGTCAAAAGGGTCTCGATGGGTCAAAAGAATCCCCACCCACCAAACACATGCTGAAACTGGGGGTCCCAAGACGGAAGGGGGGTCTGAAGACGGACCTGCCGGCCTCCGGATGCCTGTCGGCGGGTGTTTAAATGCGCAGACCGCAGACCGAACTGGGAAAACTGGGGACCGGCAGGCGGGTGACTGACCGGTCACCCCAAAACTCACCACTTGTTTGACAGGTTTGACGTCGGGGGTCAAGGTGGTTGGAACACCACAGGCACCACAAGATGTAGCGTCAAGCAGCGTCAAGGGCTTCATTATGAGGACCGGGAATACAAGATAACATAAGGGTCCAATGATGCCCAGCTGCTTTTCAACATAAGGAAGGTAAGCTCAAGGGCTAGATGGGAATGAATTTCAACCACCACCAGTGGGGTCTATTGTGCCATCTATCATCATATATCCATCGTCTCCATGTACTGTAATTAATTGATGTTGTTTTGCTACGTGCACAAACAGTATTCAGACCCGAGAACTAGCCCCGGAACCTTGCCATGATGCCTTCCACCCCATGTGGTGCTTCTAGAAGTCCGCCAGAGAAACCCCAGGATATAGAGTTGCTGTGAGCCATAAGGTCCAACATTCAAACTACCCGCTCAGGACTCAGAAAATTGTTAGACCCTCCCACCCCAAACACGGTCGAAACGGAGCTACAGTTACTTGGAGTCCAAAAAAGGAGGTGCTGAAAAGGCCTCGCCACTGACTCCAACTCGCCAAAGCACTGCATGTAGGTGGTACTTCTTTCGTCAGAATCTGCTATGATCGCACCAACTCACGTCACCCCCTGCTCCCTGACCCCTGACAAGCCATGGTTCTATGCATGCTTCATTTCCGCAACAGGCTCGTCCAGCCGGTTTTCAAGCTGTCTTTGTCATCCTAATGTAATTACCCTATATATCACAATATATCACATATCGATATGGGACAACTAAGGGTCCTTTGTAACCACACCCACTCTTCACCCACGGTGTTTTTACAAATATTTTGTCTATGTTGTCTTATTCTTCCAATGTTTGCAAAAAAACAACACGGTCTGGGCTTCGAATCTCAGAATCCTTCGTCCGCAAAACGTCCCGTCTTGCCAGGCTACGCGTGAGTACCGTATCAGCCATGCTGGATTTATCTCTGGCACTCGTGACAGTAGCTGAGTAGCTGATCTACGACGAGGTTGACTGGTCAGCAAAAAGAGCAACTCCCGGTCGCCCATCGGGCGACCGATCATGCTGCGACCGATGGTCTTGGACTGGTCAGCAAACCAGCACGCCAGTGGATGTGTTTGGTGAGCCCATTGATTTGAATAGGGGGGCCGTATTCCGAAAGATCATTGAGCATTGCAAACGATCCAAACAGAACTTGTTTGGTTGCATAGCTGCATAGCTACCATGTTCAAAGGGGTATGAGCAAAACCCATGGCTGGACTAGCTGCAGTATACACTGCAACTGAACAAGAAGTTTGGCTTTCTCATTTATTGCATTGCAGGTGTTGACAGTATGAAAAGCCCGCCCACGGAAAGTCCAGGTATCGAGGAGAATTGGCGTATACCAGGGCTGGGCTATGCTTGGTGCAAACCCATTGGACCTTTGTAATGTCTTTTATGTTTGCTCATGGGTGCGTTGCGCTGACGCTGATTAATAATTACATATATAATTAAAACATGTCTTGTGGAAGCAACCCAGCAACCAAAATATCTGCCGCATGGTTCAGCTGGCGAAGAGCGCCACTAGTAACAGACATGGTTTTATCTTTGCATGCTTGGGGACAGATCACAGAAGAGTAACATGGACAGATTAAGCTGTCACTTACATGAAATCCTATTTAAGACCGTTCGTGCTATGACATTGACCTGATTCATCACAAGCAACAAGCCTCCGGTCCTTTCTTCTTCCTTGCAAGCCTCGTTTGAAGAACCTCTCCACTCCATGATGGCCTCAATGGCCACCATCAGCCCATCACACCAAGCTTGCCAACCTGTCAGATGAAACATGAGCAAAACCAAAAAACAGAAAGCAAAAACAACAACAACCATGTTAAAACCTTAAAACAAAAAGCATTTCACCAGAAAACCATCAGTGTGAAGGATCCCCTCATTTCAATCCTTCCTTTTGGATCCCCTTCGGATCACCGGCTGTTCCGCCCGATGCCGCCATGGGCTGCTCTTCCTGCAAAGCTCATGTGGCCAGCGCCACGGACCGCGCACGTGCCGCCGCGGAGCACGCGAGCGGGCGCGCGGGCGCTTGGCGCCGGCGCCGCAAGGAGAGGAGCTGCTCGGCTGACTCTGCGGGTCCGATCCAGTGGATGATGTCTTCAAAGATGTATTCTTTGGATCCAGGAAGTTAGGTTTCAAAGTTTCAGATGTTTGCCCAGCTTCGGGTCCAAGCCCAGCTCAGTTGACTCTCCACCTTTTTTTTTCATATAGGAGGGTCAGGACTCCGACAGAAGTGATCAGAATAGTGATGAATAATGAATGGACTCGACCATCAAGGATTTGTGTTGTTTCATAGTGTCATAGTTTGTTTTCTGTTTCTTTATATGTTGTTTCTTATAAGTTTGATATTTAGAATGATGACAATAATTGATCATACTATATATATATGCATTATACATTTGTATAGTTCTGGAGGAACCAAAACAAAGAACACCCTCTTCCGGTTTTTCCTCGCACATCCACTGGCTTTCTTCGGCCAATCCAGGTGATGCGGCCCTGGCGAACCTGGTCAGCCTGGTCTCCCCACGGCCGTGGCAGAACGCGCCACTGGGATGGCAGCCGGTTCGGTGCCAAAGAGGGGACCAAATGGATGGAATTTAAATGTGGTTATGAACTGAAGAAGCTCAAAACCTGGTCGTGGTTGCACAGAAGGGTGTCTTGGATTGCCGAAGGGTGTTTGAAAGGGCAATGAGGAGCAGAGGGATGCTGTTTTCCTCACAGACACAGAGGCAGTTTGAGGTTCCAAATCACTCTCGAGACTGGAAGGAAGTCAATGTGCTCATAAGTCCATACTGTTCCTCACTGGAACTGGATCTAGAACTGGAAGTGGATCTGGAACTGGACCTCCCCCCCCACCAAAAAACAACATCCTCACCGTAATTGACATGAACACTGGATCTGGAACTGGAAGTAGATCTGGAACTGGAACTGCCCTCACCCACTCCGTAGACAGTGAGCACCACTTTGGAACTGGATCTGGAACTGGAACTGTTCCAACCAGCTGGGGCACACTTTGCTCGACCTGTTCCGACAGTGACAAGGGAACCCGAATTAGGGGACCGTCCGTCTTGCTGGATTTGAAGCCGAAATAGCTGTTTTTGTTGACCAGTCGTGACGAGTCCTTGATAAACCAAGGTTAGCGTCCCTGAAGAGCTGCTTGGAAGAGGAGAACCAGCGAGGAGACACGCCGGTCGAGTGAGTGGGACCTGCTCCGTGGAGTGTACCCTCCCTCCAACAATCTACGTGGATGGCATAGCCCCAGGAAAGACAGCTTTCCTTTACAAACAGGGGGGGGTTGTCCACTTCCATGTCCCGTCTGAGAAGAGCACCAAGCACCCAACAATTTGCCCGCACCTGCGATCGAGATCACCAGAGCTCCCGTCCTCTCCCACCTAACTCGGTTTTTGCAATCAACATCAATCAACTCGGGGCGATGGAGGATGATCCGAGATTCTGATTGGACTCTCAAATTGGGTTGTAGAAGAAAATGGATCGTCTTTAACAACAGTGCCCATGTATACTGTAGCTGTAGTCGTAATCCAGTGGTCTATTGCTTTTCAAGGTCATTTTCTCGGTCCAGTCTGCAGGGGGGGTCATCCTCTGTCCGGTCTACAGAGTGGCTCAGAGTGCGGCTCAGCTCCAGCACGACCATGGGGCCTGTGGCTCAGTTCAATGTTCACAAGAAGAAGATGTGCGGCTCGGCCAAAAGGTCCGGCCATGGGGTCTGGAATCATGGCGGCCATGGGTGGTGATGTTCTGTTCTGCCATGTTCTGCTGACTGGCTCCTGACTCGCTGATCAAACAGAAAGGGGGGGAATGTCCAGGAGGGTCATTTGGTTTGCTTCAATGGGTGGCTGTGGCACCTTGCTCTTTTTTTGCTCTTGGGCTTCATGTTTGTCTTTGCATTTGGAAACTCTCACCGGCAGGGGAGCAAACCACACAACGAAGTCAGATCAAACTCGTGGCACAACTCAACTGCATAGAATTACTCTTCAATTCCTTGGCGTTTTCCTGCGTGCTGCTTCGAAGCGAGCTCGCACGCTTTTTGTTGGCCTTCACCTTCAGGTAAGCGCGCGATTGCGGGCTCAAGCGACTGGAAAGACAAAGAGGATAAGACCGTGGAAGCCTTTCAGTCCTGGGACACCGATGGGCATCTCGCCACGAAGCTGAGCGAACGGCCAGCATCCGAAAGACCGGGTCAACTGTAGCTGGGAACGGCCAGACTGTATCCTGTTGTTTTTTTCCAAAGTAAATCTTCCAGTTTGTCAGACCTAAAGGCTTTCCTTTGGTACTTGCTGAGCTGAACCTTTGCTTGCACTTGCACCTTTTACATGCCACGCAAGCAAAGAGCCGGCCTCCCACTCTGGAGAAGATGGTGCATCTACTTTTCTCGATATTGAAGCCCCTTCTCATCCAACACAGCGGACAAAAAAGAAACACACAAGTCCAGCTTAGCCTTTAATCACCTTGGGGCGCTCAGGAATGGATTTATTGGTGAGGAGGAGTTGGCAGATGTTTTAGCCAAAATGGGCTGCGAAGTCTCTAGCAAGGATCTTCAGATCATGCTGAAGAACGCCGATGGGAACAAGGATGGCCTCTTCGCAGCACTGCCAGCATCTCCAACCTCAGCCAGCCTGTTGCTGCCACCCTCTGTAGGGTTTGATGTTTGGATGGTTTACATGTTTGGGTAAGACATGCTGAAATCAGCCAAAGACGATGCGCATGTACCCAGTGTCACATTGGACATAGTGTCACTCTAATCAGCCAATTCTAGGAGCGAAACGGCTGCTGCAGATGCGATCTGATTTTGGCTGCCTTCTCGGTCTCTGAAGAATTGCGAATATCCAAAACATCCATTTTGCAGATAGGGTACAGCATTCCAAGATGTGTTTTGAGGCAGAACGGCACCTTGAAGACTTAGCCTGGTTGAAGACTTAGCCTGGCAAACTGAAGCAGCAACCCTTGAGCAACCCGAACCCAATCAAGCTCCTTAACATGTGTTGGCAAACTACTTGACGATACTCCCTTGCAGAGGACCACATGGAACCCCAAAACCACTGGGTTGGTATCCGGAAAAGGGTCGAAACCACCGGTCTTTCTTCTCAGGCTCCGTGGGATCACAATCCTAAAACCTACCAGAACCCCCTGTCGTCACACATTCCCAGTCGATGTCGTTCCAATTCTGCTGAAATCCATGGCTTGGCGGCACAGCACTGAGCTGAGGAAAGATCGCCTATGAAGAGATGGTCCACTGGATTTGCCGCGCACCCGATCTGGAGGTTGGCAAATTGACTTTGAAACACATGTATTGTTTGTATCGGTTGCATTCATGTTTCTTTGGACTGGAATCTTGGGGTTCTAGAGCCCAAAGATCTGACCAAAAAGGGATCAATATAGGTTGGCAATCCGAATTGAAGGTCTATTTCATGCTCTCATCGGACCTCTTCAAAGAGAGTGTGAAGCAGTTGGAACAGGCTGAGAACCTGCACCCCAGGGGGTTGGGAGAAGGTTCAGTGGCAACACCTGAGTTACATTCATTTAAGCCGTCCTGCATGGAATTTGGTCGATTACAGTCAGGGTATAAGATGGTATAAGGATTTTATACGGGAGGGAGGGCATCCATGTTGAGCTTCTTTGGACATGAGCTCTGTCAAGCTCATCCAAGTAGTGACCCACAGCGTATCTGATTGCTGCCCTGTGCCACGACGGAAAAACCACCCCTAGTCTCACTAGACTGGACAAAAGTCTGTGAAGCTGGCAGTGCCCTGTTTTAACCCGCAGGATCTCTCAGCTGTCACCGGGTCTACCGCTGTTTGACGAGAGAAGACGACACCCAAACACGACTAAACATTGACACCCCAAACCACACAAATGTATGCATATAAATATAATATATATAATATATAACTATATAATATATTGATGACATATATATATATATATATTACTGTATATATGGCATACACGGAGTGTTTGGGACCTGGGACATGTTTCGATTTTGAGGATTTCATCATCTTCGGTCCTCAGGAGCTGCAGATCCTCAAGCGAAGCTTGGAGTCGCAGGAGGACGCTCAGGAGCTCATGAACCAGAAGCTGACCATGTTGCAGACCACAGCCAAAGCCAAGATGCAGGAGAAACTCACTCCAGTGATCAAGAGGCGGGTTAGAGCGCGAACATGAGCGATGAAAGAATTCCTGGTGGCTTTGGTGAGGGGTCTCTCCCCTCATTTAGACCCCCAGGCCTATCATTCATAGCATGTTCTGAACCCACTTTAGAGGCTATAGCATTGATACGTGTAATCCAAGCGAATCCAAGACCAACACACAATCAAAACAGAGGACGGATGCCAGCATAAGCACGCAATAATAACCGGCGTCCACTGGAGTATGACGTAAAGGTGTGTTGCAACTCATTACATGGACATGTTGTAACATGCGAGATTGACCTTTGGAATTCAATACATACACCACATCAGAACTTGTGATTCCACCAACCAGGGTGCTTTCCGTTGTGTAGTCCACCTAAACAATCATCAGACACACGGCGCACACACACACAGTATGGGAAGTTCTTTGCCTTCAGGAGTTTTTCCTATCACGACAAGGACAACAGCGGAGCCTTAACGTATGACGAAAGCATGATTTTCTTCTCTAACTTTGTCGCGCTCTACGAGCCCTTCATGGAAACCATCTCGAAATTGAGCACGTTTCAACGCATGACAGTCCCAAGCACTTCCACTGCTGCCCCTCACGAGTTGCATAATGAGATCCTTGGCTCGGACAGAGCAGAGATGATTTGCCCTCTGAATCTGAAAAAGGTGTCCTCAACTTCAGATCTCAGATGTATTTTCGTTCAATCAATATACATGCAGTTCTTTCATGGTTCATTTTGCAATATAATTACATGCAGATCGATGGACTTGTTGTTTTGCAGGACTTGCAGTCCCAGAGATCCAAGGTTTTTGAAGCAATACACCATTTTAAAGGACCATCACCTTGAGAATATCGATTCACATCACAAGGCTGCTTTCGAGTGTCTCTGTCGAGAGGGGCAAATTCGCGAAGATGATTTGGTGGAGGCGCTACTTCATGGTCACTCAGAAAGCAAACATACATGTTGCTAAGCCTCGACCCTCTTGACCCGTTCAGTGTCTAGCAAACCATCTTGAAAGAAAAAAAATACGGTCCAACATAAAAGTAACCAAAAAATGCAAAAACAAAACGCGGGCTAGGTTGATGCAATCAAAAACAAAACATGCACCCCAAAGTGCAAAAAATTGCTAGATCGATCCACTGCCGCAAAAAAGGAAGCGCGAACTCCTTCGCGCTCTCTTTCTCTCTTTGTTTCTCTCTTTTCGATCTGTCCGTTGGTAAAGGTCAACTGAGACAGAGAGAAAGCGGGGGTTTGTGTCGGTGGCGGGTTTGAGGTGGGCAGGTTGCGCTGCGGGGGCCGGGACGGGGGGGGGGGGGGGGGGGGAGGGGGTGGGCTGGCCGCACAGCTGGGGGGGGGGGGGGGGGGGGGACAGGTGGGCGCGTGGGCGGGTGGAGCGTGGGCGGGGTTGCGGACAGGGTAGTGGCGCTAAAACACATCATAATGCTAAACCATGTTTTTGAACGGGCTTGGTCGCTTCCAGGGCCCACGTTCTTGAGTACGATCACCGTCATAGAAACGGGGCTCATTTCAACGGATTTTTGTTGACACAGCTTTTGAAGCAAGGAGATCCCTCTCCTTGGTTCGGACTAAACCGCCCGACGAGCTCCAGAAGTGGACGCACTCGCAGACCTCACAGGGTGTTTTTCTACACTCGACACAGACCCCACTCGTCAGACAAGTGTTGCTTTGGGGTCACACGCTCTCTCTGGACTTGTCGCACTGTCTCAATCCCTTCCCAGTCTGGCCATGTGAGGTCATCCCAAAAACCGAGAGTTTCTCGAAGCCCTTGGACTCCTGGCCACCTTGGGAGATATGGAGTCCAAGCTCCAAGACAAGGGTGAAACCTTGGCAAAAATCGAGCAATCTGCAACGATCATCGACGAGGGCTTCGTGGATTGCAGCATTCTTTAGATTGCTCCGCGCAATGTTCGCGGTGCGAATTCCTGCCATCGAAGCACGCAATGAAGTGCCGAAAAGGACGACGAGCCTGGTCGGAGCTCAACCACCTGGTCGTTCCCCGAGTTCTTTCTCAGTGACACCCGGATGTTCGCCGTTAGCAGGTAGTTTTGCTCGAAGTCTGGTCTAATGCAGTGCTTCCAGATGCACGGGACAGGAACCCAGGAGATCCAAGTCTGTTTGTTGAAGGAATGTGTTTGAATCACATGGATACTTCAGGAGGAAGAAGGCGTTTTGCTTCTTACTGGGTCTTACCACATGTAAGTGGATCAGCCGCGGTGGAATCAAGAAGTCCATGTCGGGTTCGCCAGCGTGGGACGGTCAATGATCACCCTTTTTAGACGGCTTTGGACGGAGGAACATCGCCCCGTATCAAGTCTGAGCCACGCTGAAAACCTCCCCCCGCGTAAGCTAAAACTGCGGTCGCGTAAGCTCTGCGTAAGCTTTGGCGTAAGCCAGACATTTCCAGGTTATGTCATATCGATGCTGCGTAAGCAAAGCCTGCAATGGCGTAAGGTGGCGTAAGCAGCGGCGTAAGCAACACCCCCGCGTAAGCTGAAACTGCGGTCGCGTAAGCGCTGCGTAAGTTTTCGCGTAAGGCAGTTCTTACGACATAGGAATCTATCAAGGTTTTCAGCATGGCTCAATGACTAGCAGTATGACTATCAAGGGAAAGGGTTTCACTTAAGAACCGTCAAGAAGAAACACTAGCTTGTGTCTTATTTGCGTATTGTCTCAAGTTCCACCAAGACCTTTGAAAGCAGGTCACGGCTTTGACAGGCCTCCTCAAGCACCTGGCCAACTAGTTCAATATATTTCAATATTTTGTGTTTTGGAATGGTTTGTTCCCATCGATGGCCTTCTACAGGTGAAAAACCAATGGGTAAATCGATGTAAATGGTACCAAATAGAAGCATTTTTTCCAAAAGGACTGTTGTTTAATCCCAGAGCCTGCTTGCACCAATTCTACTCCTCCTGAAGTTGATTGAAGGCCTCAGATGTTGGGATCTTTTTTTGGCATGATTGAGACGGGTGGATCAAAACATGTGAAAACCCATTGAACACCCAAAAACTTGTTTGCCAAGCTGGCCAATCAAACAATGACCCTGGATTGACTGGCTTCTGAGGAATTCTCCCACTAACCAACCCACTCAAAAAGAGAGCTAGAAGGCAGGGTAGCAGTACGGAGCTTCCACATAGGGGTCTCCACAGATGACCAGGACCGAACCATTCGACAGGACCAGCGACCTTCCACCGCCCCCCCCCCGGCCCCCACATCGCGAGTGGTGTGCTCCACACCATTCCACACAGAAACGGCCAGTCGAGTCCCAACGACTCACGGGAGAAACTGCAGGAGTCCTTTGGTCGATGGGAGTCCACGGTGAGTCCTTCGCCGGCGTCCAGGTGGACCCGGATTTGGAGGAGTCTCACCCCCAAGGTGGAGGGTGAGCGGTGTGTTTGGGCCCTGGGCAGGCAGATGACAGTCACACGTTGTATGCCAGCCGTGTTTTTGTGCTTGGGCCTCTACACGATAATATTGGGTGTAAGAGTGCATGACTATTTTGAGAACTATATACATATATAGGTCCTACTGGTACGTACTGTAATTAATGGATCATATATTTTGGTGCTTGATACTCAAGCTGGGGAAGTCTCTGGATTGGGAGGGCTCAACGTTAACATGTTCACCCCAAACAACACTCGATGTCCGTGATGTTTACACTGCGAGATGTCATACACAGAGTCGAAATCCATGCTAGGTGGGAACTTAATTTATGGTTGTCACAGGTTTCTTTTGGACGTGGCTTTTGCTCGCGAATCGAGGATTTGGATTTGGTGATCTTGAAGCAACAGCCATGGCAGCAGATGTGGAAGAAGCATGTGCAGGATGCGGGGTTTCGGCTCGCGTCGTGAAAGCGATATGTTTGGCGGGTTTGCGGTGACACCTGCCGAAGCACCTCAACCATTCCCGCAAAAATCTTCCCACTCGGGGTGTCCGATCTTGGAATGTGCTTGTTGTTCATTCCGAATTTCCTCCAACTATCATAATCATATATATATATATATACAAGCGAATTTCCTACAATGCCTATAGGTGGCTGTGTTTCCTTGGTTAATGTGTTTGCCAGGAAAAGGATTGACAAACTGGGGGGAGGACCCACCCCAAAAGAGGACTATTTATGCCAATTTCTGGTTTTCTGCTGGACCAGGAGCTGAACGACGACTTGGTGACCTTCGAAGACATCCCGAGTCTCCCGAGCTCCGGGGAGACCGCGGAGTCGTTGTTGGAGCAGATGATCGAAGGAGACGAAGCTGTGAAGGTGAGACGCGACGCCGATCGACGTGAGAACAACGGTGGGAAGGACGGTGCATCGAAGGGCGGTGCATCGAAGCGAAGCGAAAAAAGATGAAAAAAGGCAATCGAATGAAGTGATCGAAGTGATCCAGTTTGGATGATGGATAGGAAAGATGGGTTTGATGGCCAGGAAGGTATTTCTTTGGGTTGCAGGCGCAGGGTGTTTCTGGATCAAATTTTTGCTGGCACAGGTTGGTTGAAAGTGGCAGACACCCGAACCAATGGAATCATGATTCGCCTAGTAGCAGTTGGGCTCCACTGTTGGTGAGTTGGCTGCGGGTCACATCACTTGTGCTGCGGTTGTTGCACAGGTTGTTGCACACCGAAGTACCTCCTTCCAGTGCCACGAGCGTTGGCGTTGGTAAGACCAGTCTTCCTTCGGAAAAGCCTTTTCTGGTCCATCCAATTTTGATCTCTCCGGCACCACTGGGCCGGCACCAAGGGTGTCTGGCAACCATGGGATGGGCCTTAAGTGAGGTCTCCTCTCCGCACCAGGCCTCCTCTCCGCAGCTCATCGAGCGCTTCCAAGCCCTTCAGAAGCTCTTGAGCCTCCACGACTCCTTGGCGACCCTCGCCAGGCAGGGAGCGAAGAACCACGTGAGGACGGACACAGGGTGGAATGCCTAAGACCAAGGAGATGGAGCAGCAATCCTCTCAATCTATTAGATCTATAACAATCTATAATATGTATGCATATGCATACTATACAATACAATAATTGTATTACTATATATACATATTAATATATATATACAATTATATACATATATATATATATAACTATATATTCAATCCATTCCGTAGTATTCAAGCATGCACATTTATTAGTTTGTCATCTATGGAATACCACACACGGATCCACGAGAAAGGGGGTGTATATATATATATATACAATTACATACACAGTATTACACGCACGAAAAGCCTCCCATGGTGGGGATGGGACGTTAGTGTCCCAATACCGCCGTGTTTGGCCAGGAAAGTGGTTTCATGCCTGGCCTCTGAAGCACAGTGGCCATCCTTAGTGGCACTGCTGCGCAAGTGTGGCCACCAGGTGGGCTCGGGTGGACCAATGGGACCGGCTGATTCAGTGGTCATTGGGCGGTGAAGGTCGGTGCTGAACACTGTGTTTGGCACTCAAAAGAACATGAACCCCGAGAAGAATGGCACCCTAAAAGAAGAAAGGAGCTCTACAACACCAATGATTTCAGTCCATGGCAGGTTCAGCTGGTGGCACTGTTATTTTTTGAGTGGACCTGCCCACTGAGGCGGCAGACGGCGTTGTTTCACAAACGCACTTTCCTTTCGGTAACCCTTACAGTGTTTGGGCATTTGAAAGCACGTCTACAAAGTACCGCGTTTTACATCAGAAAGTTGCGTTTTTGTCTCGTTTACAATGGGGTTGTAAGATGAAAAGGGCTCACAGTGCAAGAAACAAACATGGAATATTTCAACAACAGGTGCTAGCCGCCCGCCGTCCGAGTTCAACATTTCCTCAGTTAGACTTAAACGTCAACATTTTCCTCAAGCACCGTAGCCGTAAAGAGGAACGTCCACACTTTCTTCATTTACAATAGAAAGGAACGTCAACCACACTGTCCGGCCCATGTACCGGCTACATGAGCGTCAACACTCTCTTCATGTTATGAAGACATGACACCCAGACCATCAGTCTTCTAACAACATAATACATTAGAAACCGAGCAGTATTGCCTTTGAGTTCATCTCCATCTCCACCCCCTGTTGTTTTTGTTTTGGGTCCCCTTTTGGTGTTGTTTGACCTTCTTTACATGTATAACATTTGGCTCAAGGCACATGCGTGTTAAAAAGAATCTACTCCTTGCATTTCGTTCTACTCGCTCTTGTGTAGACCAGTAGAACTGTAAGCCTTCGATCAGGATACCTGACCTGCTCCACTGCGGCGGATATTTACCCACATCCCCCCACCCCATCCCCACCCCAACAAAACGTGAGGCGTGGAACAAGTTGCACTTGAATTCGTTTGGCAACTCAGGATAATGTTATTGTTGTAAGCAAGAAACATTTAAACAACACTATAACACCTAATCCCTCCGGGGTCGTTAGAGGTGGCGCGAGAAAAAGCAACATTTGTAGATATTTGTAGACACTGCTGGAGATGCAAGGTCGGGACACGGCGACAAAGGACAAAGAAGCCAACACCTTCGAAAGGTGCTGAAGGACAGGAGGCACAAATAGGCATTCCAACAATAAGGCCGTCCCAAGAAAGGCTCAAACTCAATGATCAGCTGCTTTTGGTCAAGCAAACTCGTTCATCCACATCTTCCCAGATGGTCTGGCTGAACACACAGGTCGAGGTCTCCAATATCCTATCCTTGGCGCTGAGCGGCTTCCACTTGCAGGCAGACAGAGGTTTGCCCGGTCGCCTTCCATTCGACCATTAGAAAGATTACCAGGTTAATTAACCTGGTGTTGTAGTGTAAAACCCTTAGTAACACGAGATCCAAGCTCTTAAATCAATGGTGGGCCGCGACGACGCCTGGGGCGTTATGTTCCCTACCACGATCCTCCTGTTGGAACTGGATCCGTAAGATGCCGTTGTGGATCCCCAGATCAATTTTATGTAGATGGGTGTGTATTGAAGGAGGCCTTGAGCAAACGCTGTTCATCTATGTCCCTGTTC